GATTATTTGGTTTCCAAAGCCCTTTTTAAAATTCAGAATATGTTGTAAACACATTTGTTTATCAACTATACAGTTACTTACTTTTATTAGCCCCTTGGCATTTGGCCACATGGGTGACCAACTTAAACAATGTCCTATTTTATGACATTTAGATTATTTCCAATACTAATACTCTATTATAAACAGATTTGCACTGGTGGCTCAGATGGTAAAGAATCTGCCTGCAATGTTTGATCCCTGGATTGGAAAGATCCTCTGGAGAAGGAAATGGCAACCCACTCCAGTATTCTTGCTTGGAGAATTCCATGAACAGAGGAGCCTGGCAGGCTACAGTCCATGGGGTCACAAAGAGTCGGACATGACTGAGCAACTGACATGCATTATAAACAGGTTGGCTTTAAATGTTGGCATAGCTAATTCTTTATGCATTGCCAAGTTTATTTCTTTAAGATGAACTTTTTAAGATGTCTGCTTGGCCAAAAAATGTGTGTATTTTTAAGGCTTTGGTCATACATTGCCATCAGCTGTGTGTGTGTGGCTGTTTGTCTCTGCTCATTCTGACATGTAAGGTATTTTGATATTAACTTGCCTTTGCAACTCATGATCACAATGAAAAACAGTGTAGCAGGATATGACATACTGATGCTCTTAAGGGCTGCTGATTTTTATATTTTGCTTACCCTGATACCAAATTGTTTCCAATAGTGACATTTTTAGTCCCTGTTGACAGATTTTTAATCTGCATTATCAGCTCTCAGATCTTGTTTCTGTCAGTATATCTTCTGAAAGCAATGACCACTAATTAGTGTGGCCTATTCGTTTTGTGCTGAGAAGCTGGTGGGCTCTTTTAGAATGTATAAACCGAGTAGGAATTTAGAGTCCCAAAATTGGCCTGAAAATTTCTCCTCGGACTAATACTTAGCTTTTAGAAACTTTTTTTGGGTCGAGGAGGATCCAAGATTTGTACTGTTACATTAAATTTGAGATTTAAGTTTTAAGAGGATTTTTTTCATTTTTAATGACTTTTTTTTTTTGTAATATTACAAGCAGTACATGTTCATTGCAGACAACAAGTATAAGGTAATAATCACCTGGAGAAGGGAATGGCTGCCCACTCTAGTATTCTTGCCTGGAGAATCCCATGGACAGAGGAGCCCGGTGGGCTACACTCCATGGGGTTGCAAAGAATCAGACACGGCTAAGTGATTGACAAAAAAAAGTAACAATCATACATAAATTCCCATCCCCCAGAGATAACCACTATTAGCATTTTGAAGCATTTCCTCCCAGTGTCTACATTTTTTAAAAAATTTAAAAAGTATAATTGGCCTACGAAACTGTGTTCCAGGTGTACAATATAGTGATTTGGTATTTATATTACAAAATGATCACTACAATAAGTCTTGCTACGTTCATCATTCAAAAATATTACAGTATAATTAACTGTATTCCCCAAGCTGTACATTTCATCCTTGTGATTAATTTATTTTGTAACTGGAAGTTCCTGTCTCTTGATCTCCTTTACCTGTTTCACTCATCCCCCCATGTCTCTCTCCTCTGGCAACCACCTGTTTGTTCTCTGTATCTGAGTCTGTTTCTGTTTTGTTTGTTCATAAAATTTAGGAACTCAAGTTCCTGTGTTTTAGCTTTGAATATGTTTTTGCTTTCTGGTTTTTAGTTTTATTCCAGATACTCTGGACTTTATGGATTGATGACATTTAGCTAATAGATATGCAAAGTTTCCTGTACTCATGTGCTTGCTTATGGTTTCTATTTTGCATTTGTGTTAATCCTGTAAATTACCCCAACAGGCAGAGTGGCATGATTCAGACTGGATACTCTCAGTGCCAGCCAAGTTGCCTGAAATTGAAGAATATTATGATGGAAACACATCTTCTAATTCCAGACAGAGGAGTGGTTGGTCAGGTGGCCGGTCAGGCCGGTCGGGCCGGCCAGGTGGTCGATCCGGTGGCCGGTCGGGTAGACAGAGTCGGCAGGGGAGTCGGTCAGGAAGTCGACAAGATGGTAGAAGACGAAGCGGGAATAGAAATCGATCAAGAAGTGGGGGCCACAAACGGAGTTTTGACTGAGATAGTTAATCTACCAGTGTGAGCTTGCCTGTTTCTGCATAATCATGTACATTATCAACCAAAAATTAGGTCAACATAGCTGAGGTCTGTGTCTGCTATTTGGAAAGAAGTTGGTTGTATTTTTTTAAAAAGTATTTCACAAGAATGGTTGTAAACAAATCTACTTATCCAGTTATACCTTTGAATAAAAAAACCTTTTATTGTCTCTTTTCACTGTGTGTTAAGAATTTTCTCAATGTTATCTTTTAAAATTTCTTCTAAAATGTGGCAGCCAAGTCAATCTTTATCTTACTTGCATAATACAAAATATGGTGTGTCTGTATTCAGATCATTCCTTCCATATAATAATATAGTAGAAAATAAGAAATGCCTTCTGCATTAAAGGGCTATAAAGACTGGTAACATGATTGGTTAGATGTAACATTTTAAATGTTGGATAAAAGTTAATTAAAAGGTGTGCGAGCAGTGCATCCTCAGTAATATATTCCACAGTTAAAGTTACTTGTTGAAGGTTTACTACGTGCCCATCACTATCCTAGCCCCTAGGGGTACAGTGGTGAATAAGGCATGGTCACCATCTTCAAGGAACTTATAGTTTAAAGCAGCAATTCTGGTTGAGATTAACACCTGGTGTTTAGGATGAAAGTAGCTATGGAATGTGAAGGATCTAACTGGGGTGTGCCTAATCAGTCTTAGGAGTCAGGCTTTTTTAGATGGAGTGATAGAAGTAAAGCAGAAGCACACGTTGATCTGGCCAGTTTAGAAGGGATGGGGCTTGTAGCCAGAACAGTACAGGCCTGCCTTGTTTTGTTGCACCTCACAGATACTGTATATTTTAGAAATGGAAGGTTTGTGGCAGTCCTGTGTTGAACAAGTCTGTTGGTCCCATTTTTTCTGATACTATTTTCGAATTAAGTAAATAATGTACATTATTTTAGACATAAAGCTGTTATACACTTTAGACTTGTATAGTGTAAACATAACTTTTATATGTACTACAAAACCAAAAAATTTGTGAGACTCACTTTATTGCAGTATTTGCTTTATTGCGGTGGTCTGGAACTGAACCCACGATATTTCCTAGGGATGCTTGTATATGCGGCAACCCAGACAGAGGCAGAGAATAGCATGGTAAATCTGAAGGCCTCCACATAGTTCAGTATGACTTAGATGTGATAGAGGACAGTAATAGATAAGGATTTAGGAACCAGATTTTAAAAGTCCTGTGTGCATTTTTAAGGAATTGAAATACTGTATTTATCACAGAGCTTTTTTCTTTTTCCTTTTTTGGCCACATGGCATATAGGATCTTAGTTTTCAGACCAGGGATTGAACCTGCAACCCCTGCAGTGGAAGCATGGAGTCTTAACCACTGGACCACCAGAGAGGCCCCAGGAGTTGAAATATTTTCTTGAAGACAAGGGAGAATCATTAAAGTCTTTATAGTAAGAAGTTAACATGATGAGATTTGTGTTTTAGAAAGATTACTGACTACGCGGAGGAGACTGAATTGCAGAAGGGCCAGACTAGGCACTATGAGCCCTCTTAAGATGCTGTTAGAGTAATCCCAGGTAGAGGTGATGGTGGTCTGCACTAATGAATGATAGGCAACATATTCTGAGTGATGAGAACTGAGGCACTTGAGACGTTATTGCTTATTTAGAATCACTCAGCTGGATAATATATAGTGGAGTGATTATTTAAACCAAGTCTAGCTTGTGAACCAGCATTCTTAACTACTATGCTAAATAGTGGCCATGGACTTTGAGAAACATGGATAGATTTCAGAGGTTTTTAGGATATGGAATTGTTAGGACTTGGTGCTTTCAATTGGAAGATAAAAGAGGCAGAAGAATTAAACCTGTGTTTGTCATTGGGATAGGTACTAGAACAAAGAGCGAGAAAAGTTATGTGGGGGAGAGAAGGAACATGACTAGTTCAGGATTAGATGTATTTTATCTCTTTTTTTTTTTTTTCAGGATTAGATGTATTTTAATACTCAGTAGTCCATATGTCCAGAGAAGGCAATGGCACCCCACTCCAGTACTCTCACCTGGAAAATCCCATGGATGGAGGAGCCTGGTGGGCTGCAGTCCATGGGGTCGCTAAGAGTTGGACACGACTGAACGACTTCACTTTCACTTTCATGCATTGGAGAAGGAAATGGCAACCCACTCCAATGTTCTTGCCTGGAGAATCCCAGGGACAGCAGAGCCTGGTGGGCTGCCGTCTATGGGGTCGCACAGAGTTGGACACGACTGAAGTGACTTAGCAGCAGCAGCAGCAGCCCATATGTCAGGAGATAAACAGTAGGCTGTTGGATTTATATGAAGGAGAGAGGATGTTCGAAAGATTTGGCAATAATAAACAAAAAATGGTAATTGTAGCTAAGTTAGTAGATGAGATGATCCAGGGAAAGTATAGTAAGGAAAAAGGTCTGAAAACGGAACCCGAAGGCACACCAGTGTACTTACTGCATAGCAGAGGAAAGGGGAATCCCACTGAGAAGGGATGAGAAGAGGGCCCAAAGCCCAGAAATATGGGGCTTCCAGAGGCACCAGAAGAGAAAATTTGAAATGGCCTTTGGATTTGGCAAGCAGACATTGATGTGGGGAGCAGCCATATTAACACAGTATTGATAGTAGAAGCTATTTAGCCATGGCTTCAGCAGGATATGGGAGGTGAAGCAGGGACAACAAACAATGAACATGTCTTCCAGAAACTTGGCTAGGAATAGGGAAGAACAAGCTAAAACTGGACGTAGAAGAAAGGATGAGATTGCAGTGAGAATTTTGTGTTGGCTGGGTGGGGAGATGAGGGAAATTTGAGCATGCTAAAATACTAATATGGGAGAGAGCAGGACAGGAGGGGGGAGCAGAAAGAATGAATATATGATGGATCAAAATCTCTATGAAGATCCAAACAAATGAGATCAAGTGCATCCTGGAGATTATAGCCTTAGACAGCAGAAAAGTGAAAAATGAAAGTGTTAGTTGCTCAGTCGTGTCCGACTCTGTGACCCCATGGGCTGCAGTCTGCTGGGCTCCTATGTCCATGGAATTCTCCAGGCAAGAATACTGGAGTGGGTTGCCATTTCCTTCTCCAGGAGATCTTCCTGACACAGGGATCAACCCAGAGATTGAATCTGAGTCTCCTGCATTGCAAGAGGAAGGTATTATGATTATCATGGAGGTGAGTTTGCAGGTGTTAAGGTAAAAAGTTGAGAGATTATCTGCCTAATGTCTTCCTATTTTTTTCCTGTGGTAGTTTTACATGGTCAGCCACTGAAGGTGAAAAGGGAAGTAGTAGGCTAGGAAATTTGAGGAAAGTGGAGGAACGAGGGGTATTGAGTAGAGAACATGATGAAGAACTCACCAGGCAAACAGGGTCACAGACATCCATTCGTGATGAGAGACTGAATTTGTAGTGGCATTAGAGTGGTTGAGGGATTTTCTATGACAACACTCAGCACTGTGCTGTAGGAGTGGAAGTGGGAGACAGCTGATGGGGGGACTGGGGTTTTGCTCTAAAGTTAAATGATGACAAGGTGAAGATGTTAAGGATTCAGCAAAGTGATTAGAGTAACAGTCCAAGGAGTCTAGACTGCTTAGGAATTGAAGTGGAGATGGGGTTGACAGGGAGGATGGAGAAGGGGCACAGGATTGAGGGCTGAGTCAGGATTCAGGAGAGGAGCTGTTGAGAAGACAACTGCAGAGCAGGCCTGTTGGGGGCAAAGGTTATTTCAGTTTAAGTGGTCAAAGAACTGAGAAGCCAGTTATGTGTATGGTTTCCATGGATAATGAAGACAAATGAGAACTGAGGAGGGAGTGTAAGACTAATCCAGGTGCCAAAATACCATAAGTGGTGGAGGTTGGCAAATTACTTGAATTAGGAGTGGGAAAATGAGATTATCACAGATTTCCAAAGGGACAAGGGCATTTACATGAAAGTCAAGGAGTAACTGAGGAAAAGAGGAAGACACTGACACCAATATACACTGCATGTGAAGGAATAAGCAATGTATGTATGAGGAAGCAATAGGGGAGTATTTTCAGTAAGAGCCAGATTACAGTTAGCCCAAGAGGGCCAAGAAGGACTGTTGGTGCTGGATTGAGAAGTTTTGATTATGGGCAGTGGGATTCCAAATAGCTAATGACTTGGGGGAGGGAAATCTAGATGGCTCTGTCTGCATTTGTGTAAGTGTGAACTCTGTATTGATACCCAAAATGGAATAAGGGCTGCATTCCTACCGAGGTGTGTGGTACCTCAGAATAACTTTTATTAATATAAAAGTTAATAAGGAGTGCTCAGTCTCTGCCCTTGATAGCTCAGAATATAGTGAAATAGATGGACACGTAAACGTAGGTCCATGGCAGTGACGAAGTGTGATGGTTGGCAAACTGTACCAGAACACCAAGCGCAGCCCAGGAACCTGGGGTGGGAGGTTCAGAGAAAGCGTTTTGGCTATGATGATTGTGAGTTAAGTGAGGTAAAAGAAACAGGCACAGAGTAGCTAATGCAACATGGTCTAAGCGTGGCAAAAGATAAGTAGTCCTTGTTGCCAGGATCTTGACTGTGAGGAAAGTGGTGGTGAGAACACGACCAGAGTCTCATATTGGAAGGCTTCATAGACCTTGTTTTAGAAGAGCCATTGGAGGGTTAAGGGAGAAGAGTGAGAAAGATAATACATGCAGGTAAACGCCAAGGGGGAGAATGGATTTAAGGGGTCCCCTTGCTAAAGGCTGGCATCCTTATTAGCATGGAAAGGGGCTGCTGCTGCTGCTAAGTTGCTTCAGTCGTGTCTGACTCTGTGCGACCCCACAGATGGCAGCCCACTAGGCTCCTCTGTCCCTGGGATTCTCCAGGAAAGAACACTGGAGTGGGTTGCCATTTCCTTCTCCAATGCATGCATGCATGCTAAGTCGCTTCAGTCATGTCTGACTCTGTGTGACCCCATGGACAGCAGCCCACCAGGCTCCTCTGTCCACAGAATTCTCTAGGCGAGAATACTGGAGTGGGTTGCCATTTCCTTCTCTGAAGGAAAGGGGCAGATCCTAAGAAAATAAAACAATAGCTTTCTCTGTCTTCTGGAAGAAGGAGGGGCAGGGAAATTCCTTACCAAATTCTCAGCTTTGGGCTGCAGTCCACCTCTTATCTTTGCTCCTTCTTCATAGAGCTCAGCAGCTTCATGGCTCCACCTTTTGGCTATTCAGAGCCTTCTGTATGATGCTCTGTACCCTAGTGTTGTGGCCCCTAATATCTACTTGAACTTGAATCTATTACTTTGATCTTCAGCTTTTGAATTTGTAAATAATATGTTTTCTTCCTTTCAGCATTAGAAATTTGATAATAAATTCACACTTTGGTGTGAATGTCTGAAAGCCTCTCATTTTTGTTTTGTATAATTTGGGAGTAGTGCTTAATAGTTATTTTTTAAAACTATATTCCTTTAAAAAATATTAGTAATGTATGTTCATTGTTGGAAATTTGAAAAAAAATAGAGAAGCAAATGGAAGATTAAAACCACCTATAATTACCTCTCTCAGAGACCATCACTGCTTACATTTTGTTGTATAGATTTTGATTTTACTGTGTATGTGTGTGTACATACTTTTTGAAATAGAAAATTCTCCCAATTTTATGAAAACATATTACACTATCTACATCAGAGGAGACTGGCTTGGCAGAATTCAAGAAGTACTTCCAATTCCCTATTGAATGGATGTAAAACCCATTTCTTCCACTTGCTACTGAATTTTGTACAGACGATTAGATTAAATATAGTAATCTGGCTACCTGTGAGCCAAAAAGGGCCATTTGCGTATTTCCTCTTGGAATTTTGGCCTTGTGCCTATGTGCAGGTATGTTAAAAAAGAATTTGCTGTATGAGCCTTGATAAAAATTTCCCATTTAGTAGCATTCTGGGCTTATTCTGTTGTTGAACATGTTGGTATTAAAAATGTCCCTGTACTGTGTACAGCCATATCATATACAACAGCACCATGTAATTTTGTGGTTTATTGACGAGACTGCAACGTCATTGCTTTCCTACCTGGACATATAACTAAAATTTATTTCAAAGGGTTCTACCCCACTACTGCTGCTGCCGCTGCTGCTAAGTTGCTTCAGTCGTGTCCAACTCTGTGCGACCCCATAGACGGCAGCCCACCAGGCTCCCCCATCCCTGGGATTCTCCGGGCAAGAATATTGGAGTGGGTTGCCATTTCCTTCTCCAATGCATGAAGGTGAAAAGTGAAAGTGAATTCGCTCAGTAGTGTCTGACTTTTAGCGACCCCATGGACTGCCGCCTACCAGGCTCCTCTGTCTGTGGGATTTTCTAGGCAAGAGTACTGGAGTGGGTTGCCATTGCCTTCTCCAACCCCACTACTAGTGGTAGGCTAATATGTGCCAGGAACTGTCCAAAATCTTAAGGATACAAAGATGGATAAATCAAAGCTCCTGGCTCAAGGATATCACAGGGTGTTAAGTGAAAGCATCGTATATTTACATAAATTTATCTGTTAAAAAATTGACACTGTGAAACATAATTGTGAATCATGAAAAATTTCCTTTGAACTGTCAGATTAAAGAATGTGCAGTAAAAACTAATCTTATGAAATACAGAAATAAAACTCCCAGTATTTCCCTTGGTCACAAAGTGATTACATTTTGAGTTCTTTCTAAAAACCTTGACATACCTATGAGGCTTTTTTTTCATGTTTTTATTTTTTAATTAAAGTATAGTTGATTTACAGTGTGAGTTTAGGTTAGTGATTCAGTTAGACTGATACACATATATCTTTTTTTCAGATTATTTTCTCATAGGTTATTACAAAATGTTGGGTATAGTTCCGCTTATCAGTTTAAATAGCTCTTATTTATTGTGTTCTGTGTGCCAGACAATGCTAACCCTTTTTCATTCATTATCTTAATTTTGTTAACCGATGAAGTAGGTTTTGTTATCCCCATTATGCATGAGAAACTCAGATTCAGATGAAGAAATATGGCCAAAATCACAGAGCAAACGGTTCAGTTTTTCAAAGACAGGAAAGATTTCAACCCATTTTAAAAAATGATTTTATGATGAAGTAGTTCCCAATTATTTGCCTCACTAGTTCTTCACAGGAAGTTTAGCGATACTGTCATACGTCATTCAGTAGACCACTTTCCCTCAACCGCTTTAAGTAGTTTACGTCCAAATTCTGCAAGACTAAGACACCCCATATTTTCTAGTAGAGGTCTACATGGTTTTGGGACCCTTTCTACAGGTCCCAAGTCTGGTTTAAGTGCCTATTTATGCCTTCAAAACAACTGACACTTCTCCATCTCCCCCCCCCCCCCCCAGTCTACAAAGCTTGTTGAAGACAGGACAGCTGTGCCGAATCCCAACCTTGTTTCTCATCACCTGACACGGTGAACGCTCAGCGGATATATGTTGAGCGCACGCATGAATGCATGACCAGACCCGCTTGACATCTAGTTCTTATCCAGGCTTGTGAGTCTGGGCGTCTCCTTTCAAGGGTCGACGTTTCCACAAGATGATTACACATCTCGCTCGTCTGCGCGTGAAAGGACCTTACAAACGCGAGCAATCTAATACAAAGCACTGAAGAGGCGCCACTCAGAAGCAACTTCAAATCTTCATTTATCAGGCCAGGGCTAGCGAGAATCTGTGCAGTGTTTGAACGAGAATAAAATCAACCTTTGTGATTCCTACCCTTCTATAGATGACTTCTAGTTCAGGCGCCGTAAGCAGTTAATTCACAGAGTCCCCCGGATGTGAGAAGAAGCTACTTTGGTACTACCACCGACGCCCTCGCCTCCCGGTATCTTCCGCTTCCGCTTTACTACAGGAAGTGACGAAAGCTGGGTGGGCTGTAGGGGCAGCGTTTTCTTTTCCTCTCCACGCGGTAGACGAGACTGGTCGGCTTACACGGCTTGTGCTGAGTGATGCCGGGGAAACTTCGTAGTGACGCGGATTTGGAGTCAGACGTAGCCGTGGCAGAAGTGGAGATGCCGCGAAAACAAAATGAGAAGGTACCACTGAGGGCCGAGGGACTTGGGACCAGGCAGGACGAGAGGCCGGGCGCTAAGAGTAGAAGCCCGGGCCGGGGAACAAGGCGCGCGGCGCGGACCCTGCCCGGCCGGAGACCCGCGTGGGTTTCGACCAGTGGGTTTTGGGAATGATCGGTGCTCTCCATGGGCGGTGTGCGCGTTGCCGAGAAGTCCGGGCAGATGTGAACTAGTGAGCCGGCCGGTGTCCCACGTGGTCCCAGAGTCTGGACGTCCGGCACCCGGTCACCGTTAGGCCCCACATCTTGGCCCAGACTCGGACCTCCCGGCGTGAGAGTGCGTGGAGGGAATTGTAAATCAAAAGAGGGACCAGCGCTTCCTGCTCAAGTGGCGCAGTCAGAAACCCATCTTGCACACGTGGGTAGTGTCCGTCGTGACATTTTTTACCCTAGTGGTGGGAATACAGTTTTCCGGAAAGCGGCCCTTAGACGAAAAAGTAGTTCAGTTCCTCTTAATATTTGTTGGCCAGATTTCCCGTGGAAATGTAGACGTGTTGTGCTAACTGCACACCGTATTTTTTTTTTTTTTTATATAGGCCAGCAGTGTGCGGTAGTCTTAAGTTACCTCGATAGCTGTCTGCTTCCTTGCTGTTACTTCCTTAGAAAGCGATTTAACTTGTGACTGATTCTCTGTTCTGAGGTAAGGTCACAGAGAACAAAGATTGTCCCTAGGAACTTGTGTTGTTCATGACTTAGAATTTCTTTCCTGCTGTTTCTGAGTCTTTTTAACGGGAGAGTTTTCCAGCGTTGTAGGAAGCGGAGGTAGCAGAGGTTTGTCCCCAAGGGGAGGAAGTAGGCCTGGTTTCCTAGTCTTGCATCGGCCAGCCTATTCAGTTGTGGGATGCTGAAGTTAGAAAGCATATAACCTGCAAACTCCACTGCATTCCAAAGCAGTTCACAGGGACTGAAAATCCACCCTCATTGGTGGAACAAAGGGATGATAGAATTGAAACCTCAAGATGGAGTGGACCAGATTGGTTTTCAGATGTCTGAAGGATAGGTCATATGAGAGAGATTACCATTCATCCACGATTTAAGAGCAGAGGCCAAACCTGAAGTTTTATGGAGGCAGATTTCAGCTCAATGAAATAGTCCCCATATTTCTTGCCTTGGCCTGAGGCTCTGCCACAGAGGTTTTAACAGAAGGTAAAACACATTTTCACTAATACCAAGTTTTCAGAAATATGGAAAGTTGGAGGTGGTCAGACATTTCAAGTAGGAACTGTAATCTAGTTTGGTTTTGAGGTTTCCCTTGTTCCATTTTCTTGTGATTTTTGTTCTGTTTTTCCCTTTAAGATAGGTATATCTTTTTTATGCATGAGGTGATAGTTTGGGTTTTTACAACTTTTTGGTTCCTAAAGTGTCTGTATGTCAATTTCTTTGCATTTGTGAGAAAAGCAAGGCAGAGATTATGAATCTCTTTTTTACCTGTAGAGGGCTTCAAGCAGAGGAAGAAATCTGCTTACTATCATCTATCTGTGGACATATATGACAATATGACATGGTCATATTAACTTCATCAAGTTAAATTAAGTTAAATTGTTCTTGATCACTTCCTGTAGTTTGTGGTTTAGAACATGTTGGAGAATCCTGTGAGCCATTCCAAGTCCCTTGTAAAAATTGGACTGTACAGCTTGTACAATTGAATAGTTACCAAGAAGCATTCTCTTACAAGCTAATGAAGTTATTGGTATATTATTCTCTCCATGTTAGCCAAGAAACAGTATTAAAAAACATACTGTTTGATTTTTGCCTCAGTGCAAGTACACATGTTGAAAAATGCCTCCAAATTGTATTTTTCATAATGATGTGATCTTGAAATAATGCATAATTAATGTATTATGCAACTATCAGTGCTTTGCTCAGCTTTTGCATTGTCTTTATTTTTTAGAAAGGTAAAAAAGAGAAGCCAAAATCTAGTAAGACTGAAGAGGCAGTAGAAGAAAAGGAGGAAATGATTTCTTCCAAAGCTAAAAAGGTTAAAAAGAAAGCAGAGACTTCTGAGGTTGACGTGGATTCTCCTAAATCTAAAAAGGCAAAAAAGAAAGAGGAGCCATCTCTAGATGAGATTATTTCTCCTAAAACTAAAAGTTCGAAAAAATCAAAGGAGCCCTGTGAAAAGACAGTTGTTTCTCCTAAAACCAAAAAAGTTTTAAAAAATGAAGAGGCTTCTGAAGAAGAATTGGGTGCACCTAAGCCCAAAAAGATTAAGAAAGAAAAAGAAACAAATGGAGAAATTCAAGAGAAAAGCCCCAACCTCAAGAATGGATTTCCTGACTCTGGACCTGACTCCAACTCCAAGGAAGCTGCCAGTGAAGGAAACAGCGAGTTAGAGCAGGTAAAGTTGCGTTTTAATATGTAGAATGTATCTTTTGATGTTGATTCAGGTAAATAAGTATATAATTGTTACACATTATTTAATAATGAGAGGAAATTGGATGTGTCAGCACTTCATAGCGCTGAGGTGCAGGGTGAGTATTTTAAAAACTGCAGTGTCAATACTTACCTGGCAGGGGAGGTACTGTGATCACGAAGGTGGTTTTCCCAGAGCGAGGCTCACCCATTGCACTGCGGGTGTGTTGACCTCTGCAATTTCCTCAAATGTGGGAAACTTGACTGCATAATTTGTGGTAGTGGGGGACTGCGTGCGCGCTTTCCCCTGACAACTATGGTTTCAATAATAGAACTATCTTCTAAGGTAGTGTGGGGTTTCCCCGGTGACACAGTATTCTGCAATGTAAGAAACCCTCGGAGAGTTTCTTTGGAGAAGGAAATAGCACCCCACTCCAGTACTCTTGCTTGGTTAAACCCCATGGATGGAAGGAAGAGCATAGTAGGCTACAGTCCATGAGTTCGCAAAAAGTAAACATTACTGAACAAGTTCTCTTCAATAAGGAATACACTGCTCCCTCAAGCTAGTAACTATTAAACATAGAGGTTATGTGTTGTTTTTTATATACATATTACAGCAGCTAGTTCAGTTCAGTCCTGTCGACTCTGTAGACTCCATGGACTGTAGGACTGCAGCATGCCAGGTAAAAATAAATAAACAAATAAATAAAAACTGCAGTGTCAGAATGCCTCCTTTGCAACTAAGCAAGGTTTTAAGTTTAGAGAATGTCTTCTTAACACACTTGATTTGCTTATTTTCAAGTCAGAAATCAACAGGAGGTATATAGTTAGCATATGTGCTCCAGCATCCCTCTGAGGGTTTCACCTAGTAAATCATTATTAAGTGGAACCACTTAATAAGGTGGTTGAAAGGTGCTTGCTTGATTGTACAAGTCTTTTTGTTTAGGTCATTAACTAACTTGAGTTGAATACGATGCTAAATGTCCCTTTGGAAGCTAACACTGTTTTTTCAGAAGCTCGGTCATCAAAGAAAAATGCCAAATCTAGTAAATTTCTCTTTGCCGTAGGGTAGTAATCAACATTTAAAATTTTTTCCTGATTATAAAATACATATACAGCTATTTTTTTGTCAGATTATAATTTTATCAATATTGTATCTAGCCTTTTCCTAGCTTACCTATATTTTTATTTTTCAAATATTTTTATTTATACATGACTGTGCCGAGTCTTTGTTGCCCCATGGACTACTCTTGGATGGTGTACCTGGGCTTCTCATTGTGGTGGCTTCTCTTGTTGGGGAGCATGCTTTAAGGCTCGCTGGTTTCAGTAGTCATGGCACTTGGGCTCAGTAGTTGCAGCTCCCAGGCTCTAGAGCACAGGCTCAGTCGTTGTGGTGGATGGGTTTAGTTGCTCCGTGGCAGGTAGCCTCTTTCCCGACTGGGGATTGAATTTATGTGTCCTGCTTTGGCAAGTGGATTGTTTACCACTAAGCCACCAGGGAAGCCCATTGCCTATATTTTTATATAGGCATTTTCCTTACTTTTAAATATTAAATATTTTTAGTGGTTATGTAATTCATCATATAGATGTTTAGAAATTCACTTAATTATTCAGTTGTTGGACATTCAGATTTTGGCACATTCACATAGTGCCAGTGTAATCATTTGTCATAAATGCTTATCCCTTCTTTTCTGTGGATATATGTCTGAAAGATGTTGCTATGGGAAGTGGTTAATAACCTGTTCACCAGTGTATTGTTGATTTGGAATAACTGGAAAAGTTCTTAGTTGAGACTGAATCTACTTTCACTAGCCATATGTGGTATATCGGTGCTGTATATATTTGCCACAAAATTTTCTTCTGTTAGGGTTTTATAGATTACTATCATCTTTATCCTTTTCAGATCTTGATTTACTTACCAGAGTGTTTGTGTCTTTTTGGTTGATTTAGAAGAAATGTTTTAGGATAATTTCTTCGAAGGCTTTCTGTATTTAACCTGTAGGGGTAAAGTTACTGATTTCTTTCTGTGGCCCTTTATTTGATAGGAAATGACTGTGGAGCAAAAAGAAGGAGCTTTCTCTAATTTTCCCATATCTGAAGAAACTATTAAACTTCTTAAAGGTAATATTCTTGGAAATATTGTATAATGTTAGAACACGTTATTTGGAACACTCTACTGATTTTGTTGAGATAAACTGGGACATGTTCTTATTGGAGGATGATATACGCAGCCATATAATGAAGTAGGTCTGTATATTTGGTAAAGGACTAAACTAGTGATGGCCTTTACTGCCTCTTGAACGAATGATTAAAATTTATTCAATATAGTATATTCAAAAAAATAGAAAATACATTATGTATATTTAGAGGTATAATGACTGATAGTACTGGTGCAATTGAATAGTTGATGCCATGTTGGTATTTTCTTTTTTACCCTCTTGCACTTCTTGAGGCATCTCTAGGTTAATGATACTAGCCTGACTCATGTTAGTATTGTGCCTGTGAACCAAGTAGGAAGTCACAGATGCTCAACTTACATGTTTTCTGAATCAGGTGTGGTGCAGTCAAGACAGCGAAACCCTGATTTTTGAGCTTATATTGGCCTGTGGATGAGATTTCGTGACAAGGGGCTTCATCTCTTAAGATAATAAGTATTTAGTGTACTTTACTGCTTTAAAGTTTATTGATATTTTTTGGTCAAGAAGATTCTTCATTGCCAGAATATATTTAAAGTTAACTTTATAGATGTGACCAGAATGTAGAATTCTGCAGGATCAGAAGCCTGACTATGCTTTCATCCTCCAGTATGGCTGGGGCTTTAAGAACTGCACAGCCAGGTAACATGGCTCATTTGTTCACAGCCCGTGGGGTGACCTTCCTGTTTCCTATACAAGCAAAGACGTTTCACCATGTCTATAGTGGGAAGGATTTGATTGCACAGGCACGGACAGGAACTGGAAAGACATTCTCCTTTGCTATCCCTTTGGTTGAGAAACTTCTTGGAGAACTGCAAGACCGGAAGAGAGGGCGTGCCCCTCAGGTAAGTATCTTTAACACAGTCTTTAGAGTTTACAGGTTCCAAGTCCACACAAGAAAGAGACATTGCTTGGACATCGCTTATATATCCCTTTGTTTCGTTTTGAGTTCTTAAGGCCTTTTTCTTAAGATCTTTTTTACTAGAGATCTTTATCTGAAGGTATAAATCAGGATAATTCTTTTAAGGCTGTTGACCGCAAATCTTATGTATTTAAACATTGTAATTTGTTCCATGGTAATGCTCACCTCTATTATTAATCCCTATATATTTCAAGACTCTTAGATGTCCCTGGGACTCAAGGATTTGGTCAAGTGTCTCCATTTTTGCCTGAAATGGGGAAAGCATTTTTAATAGAGATGCCTGAATAGGAAGGAGTATTAGATGTGAAGAGGCCAAGCCTCTGATCTGGATGCTTGTTGAGCTCATTTCTAAAGAACTTGGCATTTGCCAAACCTTGACCTCCCTGGAATGCCTGTGTTGTCACCTTGGCTTTGGGTTGTTGTACCTGACTTTTTGGCCTCACCTCATTCACGGGCTTTCCAGTATCCATGTCCTGTCTTCATTCATTGATTTGTTTACTGTTATTTGTCTGCAATTTCAGCAGCTGAAACAATAAATTATTCTAGCACCTGGAATAGTGCCTGGTACATAATGGCTGTTCAGTAAATACCTGTTGAATGGATGTATGAGGTTGTTCTTAAATCACATTTGTTTTCATGCTGTTACCCTATTTGAGGATCTGTTGTGGTTGTGTGTTGTGTTTCCTGTTATGAATCAAAGCCCTTCACCATATTGGTCTGCTCTTACTCTTCTGACTTCCATTCTACTTCCATTTCACTGCAGTGTGGAGATTTTAGACTATATATTTTGTATCCTGGCTACCTGAATTTAAATCTAGGCTCTACCTGTTGGTTTTAGAAATCTGTTGTGTGTTATTGTAGGTATTATTATAGATATTTTGAAAGTAATTTTTAGGATGAGTTGAACCTCCTGGTGCATTAGAAATTTATTAAACACTTATTGCATAATACTTTGGATTCCATTATTAGTTTTTCTTTTCAGGTACTGGTTCTTGCACCCACAAGGGAGTTGGCAAGTCAAGTAAGCAGAGACTTCAGTGACATCACAAAAAAGCTGGCAGTAGCTTGTTTTTATGGTGGAACTCCCTATGGAGGACAAAGTAAGTTAATCCACAAGTGAGGAAAGGAAAATGCCATCTACTTTTTTTTTTTTGCCATCTACTTTTAAGGTGACCTGATTGAACAACTTCTGACTTCTGACATCTATCTTTTCCTACCTGATTTAGTCATTTATGGTGGTTTTCTTTTGTCTTTTTTTTCCCCTTCTTTTATTTTTTGGTCATGTTGTGTGGCTTGCAGGATGTCAATTCCCCAACCAGGGATTGACCCTGGGCCATGGCAGTGAAAGTGCTTAATCCTAACCACTAGACCACCAGGGAACTCTCTCTTTTGCCATTATTGTTTAAAGATGGTCAGGCACATGGTCCTTCATGATGATGTGTCAGATCTGTATATGGATCTTAGGACTTTTGTTATTATTTATCTATGTTTACCTAAAGGCTGCAGTAATGCCTTACTGAGCCTAAGAGGACAGAGTCCAGGAACTAGAAAGTCAGAACTCAAGGTTATTAATTTTTATCTGTCAAAGACCTTGGGTCTTTGCTTCTTTTTACCGTAGACAGCCTTTCTTTTCTCTGGTGCCAAGAGCCATATGTATCCCCTCCTATAATATTCCATTATTTCCCAATTTTAAGACCTAGAAACTTTATTTTGTAGGTCAAGATACATAATTCAGGAAGCAGCTTAAGCATTTTGAAAGTCTTCGTATTGGACAGATGAATGAGTAAAGATATGGTCATATATACGATGGAATACGACTCAGCCATAAAAAGAATGAAATAATGTCAGTTGCAGTAAGATGGATGAAGCTAGAGATTATCATACTAAATAACTCAGGCAGAGAAAGACAAATATATGGTATCACTTATATATGCAATCTAAAAAAATGAAACTAGTGAACGTATTTACAAAACAGAAACAGACTCTCAGAAAACAAACTCATATTTGTGAAGTCCCTGGTGGTCCAGTGATCGGGACTCAGTGCTTTCAATGCCGGGACCCAGTTGGTTGGTCTCTGATCAGGAAACTAAGATCCTGCAAGCCACACAGCCCACTCCACCTCCAGTCTTCATCCCCTGGAACCCAAAAAGGAAGAAAACAAACTTACGTTATCAAAAGGGAAAGGTGGCAGGGGTGGTGGGTGGGAAATAAGTTAGGAGGTTGGTGTTAACATCTGCACGCTTCTGTATATAAAACATAATAAGGTGCTCCAGTATAGTACAGGAAACTCAATACTCTGTGATAACCTGTATATGGAAAGAATCTGAAAAAGAATAGATATATGTATATGTATAACTGAGTCATATTGCTATCTACCTGATACTAAAACAACATTGTAAATCAGCTGTTGTTGTTCAGTTGCTAAGTTGTGTCTGACTCTCTGTGACCTTGTGGACTATAGCCCACCAGTCTCCTCTGTCCATGGGGTTTTTCAGGCAAGAATACTGGAGCAGGTTGCCATTTCCTTCTCCAGGTGATCTTCCCAACACAGAGATGGAATCCATTGGCAGATGGATCTCCTGCATTGGCAGGTAGATCCTTTACTGCTGAGCCACCAGAGAAGCCATTAATATGTATATCAATAAGGAAAAGATTAAAGATGAAACAGAGCATTAATATTTCACATTATAAGAAAGTGCATTGTAATATATGAAATAAAATTCAGTTTCATTCACAATTAGAGATGTAAATTAAAATTATAATGAGTATTTTACCTGTTAGACTATCAAAGGATAAAAGATAGTTTGATAATTCCTTGAATGAGAAAACAGGCATATTCTTTACTACTAGAGAATTAAACCACCTCCTTAAATTGAAATACATATAGCCTTTTGCTCAATAATTCTACTTTGTAGGAATTTACCCTACCGATATGATACTCATGTAGCCAAAGAGCTACTTAAGGTCCCTGACAGCTACTTAAGGTCCCTGAGTTAAGATGAGTTGACTTAAGAGTTCTTGACTTTACAGTGGTACAAAAGTGATACATAGTCAGTAGCAACTATACTTTGAATTTCTGTCTTTTCCTGGACTAGTGAAATGCAGTATGATACTCTCTCAGGATGCTGGGCAGTGGCAGCTTACTCCAATATAAAATAAAAATTTACAAATAATATAAAAAATGACAAAAGAAGACTTAGTATTGGCACACAAGGCTTGTGATTATCTCTTTTTGGCTTTGGTGGAACTAACATAGACTTTGGCATCAGAACGGCATGGGTTTGCCTCTAACCTCTGCTTACAGAGTACCTGAGTGATTTTTCAGTTTAAGTTGCTTGATTTTTCTGCACTTTAGTTTATTCATGTAGGATTGCTAAACTCACCCTGCAGTGCTGTGAGGATGAAATTGGGTAAGTATGTCGAGTACCTAGCAGCAGAGTCCTCAACTACAGTAACGATGGAAAGTTACATCTAGATAACCAATAAGAACCTGCTGTATAGCACAGGGACACTTGGCGGCGCACCTGGAACTAACACAGCACTGTGAATCAACTACACAGCAGCAAAAATTAATTTCCAAAAAAAGGATAGAAAAAAGTTGTATCATTACCATCTCACCCCAGTTACATTGAACCCCACTTTTCTGAACATCTCTGCACTTTGTTGTAATACTTGCCCATCTTCCTATACCTGCTTGCCTATGCTGTTGTTCAGTCGCTCAGTCGTGTCTGACTCTTTGCGACCCATGGACTGCAGCATGCCAGGCTTCCCTGTCCTTTACCGTCTCCCGGAGCTTGCTCAAACTCATGTCCATCGAGTTGGTGGTGCCATCCAGCCATCTTATCCTCTGTTGTCCCCTTCTTCTGCCTTCAGCCTTTCCCAGCATCAGGGTCTTTTTGAGTGAGTTGGCTCTTTGTGACAGGTGGTCAAAGTATTGGAGCTTCAGGATCAGATGAATATTCAGGATTGACTTCATATAGGATTGACTCATTTGATCTCCTTGCAGTCCAAGGGACTCTCAAGAGTCTTCTCTAACACCACAGTTCAAAAACATCAATTCTTTGGTGTTCAGCCTTCTTTATGGTCCAGCTCTCACATCCATACATGACTACTGGAAGAGCCATAGCTTTGACTAGTCGGACCTTTGTCAGCAAAGTAATATCTGTTTTTTAATATACTGTCTAGGTTTGTTGCAGCTTTTTTTCGAAGGAGCAAGCTTCTTTTAATTTCATGGCTGGAGTCACCATCTGCAGTGATTTTAGAGCCCAAGAAAAAGTGTTACTGTTTCCATGGTTTCCTCATCTATTTGCCATGAAATGATGGGACCGGATGCTGTGATGTTAGTTTTTTGAACGTTGAGTTTTAAGGCAGCTTCTTTACTTTCCTCTTAAACCTTCATCAAGAGGCTCTTTAGTTCCTTTTCGTTTTTTGCCCTAAGTGTGGTGTCATCTGTATATCTGAGGTTATTGATATTTCTCCTGGCATTCTTGCCTATAGGAAGTTACTATTTTTTAAGATACTTATTTTCACTTTGTGAAATATTGACACCCTCCACCAGTAAAGGAAATAATCTCTTTCCTGGTGCTACCATCCCTCACTGGTGCATTTTTTTTTTGTTATGTCATGTAGTACACTGGACTACCACTCTATTTTTTTCCATCTCACTAACACTGTGTGGTATGTGGGATCTTCAGTTCCCCCACCAAGGATTGAACCCGTGCCCCCCTGCACTGGGAGTATGGAGTCTTAACCACTGACTGCAAGGGAAGTCTTTGGACTGTCATTTCTTACATATTTCCCCTGTAGGTCAAGGAGTGCTTCGAGTGTCTCTAAAATACTTGGCATAGTACCTTGTATTAATACTTGTAGTTAATAAATATTTTGGAATAAAAATATATCAAATTGGTGTTCCAGATTAATAAAAGGACTTAAAAATCAAGCATATCTCATCATTGGTATTCTTTACAGTTGAACGCATGAAAAATGGGATCGATATCCTGGTTGGGACACCAGGTCGTATCAAAGACCACCTGCAGAATGGCAAGCTAGATCTCACCAAACTTAAGCATGTTGTCCTGGATGAAGTTGATCAGATGTTGGATATGGGCTTTGCTGATCAAGTGGAAGAGATTTTATGTGTAGCATACAAGAAAGGTAAATTCCACATTCAAGAACTGGCATAAGGGATTGGAGGAAGGGTAGTGATTAAGTAGTCTTCTGAAAATTAAATGAAGCCTTAGGAAGTTGGCAGGAAATTTCCATGATTTGCACATAATAATAATAGGGAAAATTTGGGAAAATAAGAGAAGCCAGGTTGGTATACTTTGTTTTTGGTTTATTCCTGATTTGTGCTATTGTGTGTGTGTTAACTGTAATCATACTGTACATGTAAAACTCCGTGAACTATTTGTGCCATGATAATCTGTCTATATATTTTAATTTTTGCATAATATAAATCTGCTTACAGACATTTTTATGTAGACAGCTTACTTCAAACAACAATATTCAAAATTAGTTCTTGATAGATTCCCACAAAGGAGATCTGATTTGAAAGGTATAAATAGTTCATGTTCCTCAATATACACTGTCAGGTTGCTCTCAGAAGGGCTCTGTCAGTTATGCTGCCATTTGAAATATAGGAAAATGCAGTGGTATTCTAAGAGCAAACTTAAAAAAATTGAGGTTGGAGAGTTACTTTTAGTGTCTGACCTCAAAAAATGAATAAATTAGAATTCTAGCCTCCAAATGTTGAGGAAATGCTTGGGAGAATAGATGAGTACAGAATCTGTTGTGTTGATTACAGGTTATTTAGTGATTCAGATTCGTTGGTTATTGGACCTGTTTAACTGGCATTAACCACTTAGTAGGTCTCATTAGAAAGGACAGATTTTCCTCATGGTTCGTAAGGGCCAATGGTTAGAAAGCAAAATAACTAAGTTCTCTGGGTATTTCAAGAATCCTTTACTTAAATAATTAAGGCAATTATTCTTTGCCCACTGGGAACCTTGGTGTCTAATTTTTATGTCCTCAATGCCTGGCTTGGTGTCAAAAGTGTTTTTCTTGTAGAATGTTGGATGGACCCTGGAAAAATTGGGTGAGGTGGAATTCTGTCTGTGTAGGCTATTTTGAATTATTCATACTTTTTTTTTCCCCTCAAAGATTCAGAAGACAATCCTCAAACATTGCTTTTTTCTGCAACTTGCCCCCATTGGGTGTTTAATGTTGCTAAGAAATACATGAAATCTACATATGAACAAGTGGACCTAATTGGTAAAAAGACACAGAAAACGGCGATAACTGTAGAGGTAAATGATTCATTCAGTTGTTGGCATTAGTTACAAATAATATATAATGTTTTTCCCTGTCTGATCATATTTAGACTGCAAATACAAACTCCTTTTCCAGATAAGTACTAAATCTATGTGAAAAGTCAAGTAAAGTTATGTTTCTAATTGAGTGGTATATTGGTATCTGTATTTTCTAAATTTCATCATCTGGTTGCCTGATTGAAGAATCTTTTGGAACTTAAATCTATATAAGTTAGTAAGTGGAGTGACATTACACCTTGAGTTTATACATTAGAGGGCAACAGAATCCTAGTGTTGGTGTTGAAGCTGTTTTTTTCTTAGGGTCCGGTACCTAGTGGAATTTATTGCATCCAAGCAACAGACCTGTATGGAAACTAACTACTGATTGCATGTTTAAGTGGATGAAAGAACAGAACACACAGAGGCTTTCCTGCTGTCTGTTATTTGGTTTCTTGTGGGAATTTAGGAACAGCATTTCTTTTCTTACATTTTCTGGGTTAGGTCAGAAAATGGTTAAAGAAGCCGGGTACTCTGGTGAAAGAGGAAAGGCTCTCTGCTTTAGTTGTTTAGTATTTTTCCCCTCTAAACAGTGGTGGTGGAAGTTTTCTCTAGTCAGGCTTAAACAATTACTTTTAGTATCATTAGAGTTGGGCAGATGATTTTAGATTCTAGCGAGGCTTTACTGAATAATCTTTTTTCCCTCTTTCTTAAGCATCTGGCTATCAAGTGCCACTGGACTCAGAGGGCAGCAGTTATTGGAGACGTTATCCGAGTGTACAGTGGTTTTCAAGGGCGCACTATCATATTTTGTGAAACGAAGAAAGAAGCTCAGGAGTTGTCACAGAATGTGGCTATAAGACAGGTTGGTCTTCACCTTCTCTTTCCATAAGGAGACAGCATCTTTCAATTAATAGAGTATACATCTTAGAGTTCATCTGATTTGCCCATCTTATCTCACAGATGAAGAAAGCGTGACTCAGACCCAAGGTTACCCTGACAAATATTTGATCACTCATATTTGGTATAGTTGAATAGTAAAGGACAGGGAAGCCTGGCATGCTACAGTTCATGGGGTTGCAAAGAGTCGGACATGACTTAGTGACTGATTGACAACAAATAGTGGAATACAGTTGATTTAATGACCACCATTGAAAATTTGAGGCTTGTCCATGGAAGGCATATTTTCCCCTTTGTATTAAGGTGTATTATTTGGTGACAGAGGTGTCACCAAAATGTGAATGTCTTTATAGGCCTAATTGATGATTTTTTTTTTCTAATTGATGATTTTGTTTTATTTATTTTATTTTATTTTTAATTGATGATTTTAAAAGTACCTGCAGGATACTTCCCTGGTAGTCCAGTGGCTAAAACTCTGGGCTCCCAATGCAGGGGGCCCAGGTTTGATCCCTGGTCAGGGAACTAGATCCCAGATGCCTCAACCAAGACTCAACACAACCAAATAAATAAATTAATTAAAAAAAAAAAATAAAGTACCTGCATTGTTTGATCTGGTATTCTTAAGTGAGCTTGTTTCTTTGGCAGGATGCCCAGTCGTTGCACGGAGACATTCCACAGAAGCAAAGGGAAATCACCCTGAAGGGTTTTAGAAGTGGTGACTTTGGAGTTTTGGTTGCGACCAATGTTGCTGCACGTGGGTTAGACATCCCTGAGGTCGATCTGGTTGTTCAAAGTTCTCCACCAAAGGTAAGGGTTTTACAGTTAGATTCCCCCCCCCCCATTAGTAATTCACCTTGGATAAACTTCATTGGCTACGATACTTCTACTGTGCAAAGCTACACTTAGCTTTTATTTTATTGTTTCTTTTGGACGCTAAAACAAATTGAAAGTTGTATTGCTTCTTTTCAGATGATTAGTGATAGCTTTCTTTGGGGTGTTAGGTTGCTAAGGGTGATTTTAAAATGAACTTGTCATATGTCCCCACCTCTCTCAGAACTGACAGTGTCGTGAGTGGGCAGAGGTTGGAAAGATAGTTTTTGGTCAGAGCATTGTCCTGAAAGGTTGCTGGATGGGGGTAGTACAATTTTGAACTGGACTTTGAAGTTGGTAAGACTTAGATGGTGTGTGGTAGGGTAGATAAACTTGAGAGCTAGAGAATAGAGAAGCGAGAAAGGCCTGTAGTTAACAACCTCTGGTTAAAACTGCTTGGGTGATGGGAACTTCCCAAAGAGGTCTTTGATGAACAGTTTATATGGTGTGGACACTTACTTAAAAGTTGGTCTGAAGAAGCTTGTTCCCATCACTTCAAGCATGAAGACCCCATTACCCCCAAATTTGGCAAATCCCTTAGGATTAATGTTTACAGTGATGGAAAAATACATTACTGCAAAGTCATCATTTCTTACACAGGATGTCCCATAAGTGTGTAACATAAACATTATTTAAGTAAGCCTGTATACCTGCGCTGTCTAGCATGAGCACCACAGGCACGTGGAGCTGTTCAGTACTTGAAATGCAACTGGTCTTAATTGACTTGTATGTGCTGTCAGTATGAAATAGACATTGGATTTTTAAAAAATGTGAACTTTCTATTACGCACAGTAGTTTTGAAAGACTTGTGGGAAAAGAATGTATAATATCTCATTGATAACATGTTTTGTGGAAATAGCATACTGAAATGGCAAACTTTTGGATATAGTGGGTTAAATAAAATAATGCTTTTTTAAAAAAGCAATACTTTTTGCAGATTTACCCACTGCATAGGGACAGACCACCGTTCTAGAGGTTTTAAAGTTTTTTCAGTTCTTAAACTTGGAATGCTTAGGTGCCTCCTCCCTCGCACTATCCCCTCTTGGTCCAGGTCTGTCACCACCACGCTTGGCTCTGCATAGGCTCTCAGGACTACTTTTCTTCATGGTTCAGTATCATTGACGTATTTTACTTCCATAGGATGTTGAATCCTACATTCATCGTTCTGGGCGAACAGGTAGAGCTGGGAGAACCGGGGTTTGCATCTGCTTTTACCAGCACAAAGAAGAATACCAGTTAGTCCAAGTGGAGCAGAAAGCGGTAAAACTGTTTTCTTAGCCTTCATTCAGCTAATGTTGAGTTCCAAAGTCAGTCTTTGTCTCTTTATTTGGTTTTTATTAACTTTATTTATTTAAGTTTTATTTCTAAGCATGTGGCCATGAGTAAAAGCTTGTTGTTAAATATGTTTTATGTATTGTCCTATGGTTTAAAGCCTTTTTGAATAACTTCGCATTTGAAAGCAGTGGTTTTGTCTTAATATTTATGATGAGAAAGGGTCTTTTCTTACTGAGATGTTTGAAAGGCAGTTTTCAGACAGTGATGCACACACAATGAATACATCAGAAATATTTTCAGTGTAGGTTTAGGGGGTTACTTGAAGTTTGGAGAATTGCTTGAAAACTGTAAAAGATGAGACTGTCAAAAGGAGAAACTTTTTATCTTTTTTTTTTTTTTTAAGGAGAAACTTTTTAATGAGAAAGAAGGCACTTTTCCTTGCAGAAGAATTTTATACTTTTCTCCTGTGATAGGTGAATGAAATACTGATATTCTCAAATTGAGGGACATTCTACAAAATACTGACTAGCACACCTTAAAACTGTCAAGGTCATGAGAAACAGGAAAGACAAATTGTCACAGATCAGAGAAGACTAAGAAGACATTGTTAACTAAATGTAATGTGGTGTCCTTGGTCAGATATCAACAGAAGAAAGGATGTTAGAAAAACTAGTGAAATTTGAATGAAACCTGGGGTTCGGTTAATAGCAATGTTGGTTTCTTAGCTCTGACAACTGTACCAAAGTAATAGGTGCAGGTAGACAGGAACTCTGTGTACTGTCTTTGCAACTTTTCTGTAAATCTAAAAACCTTTCTAAGATAAAAGGTTTGCTTTAAATATTTACCAAATATGTTTGGTAAGTATTAGAAAATTGGGGGACTGCTGGTCTCAATAGAAATAATTGATGGCCATGTTGTACATTAAATTATGGTTCATTTCCTTGTAGGGAATTAAATTTAAACGAATAGGTGTTCCTTCTGCAACAGAGATAATAAAAGCTTCTAGCAAAGATGCCATCAGGTATGTTCTCTACCACTGCTGTGGTTTGTTTTATGCTTGCTCTATTTATTACATGTTTTTGTGCATTAATGAAATTTAGATTAAAATGTATTCTATTTAGTGTTTTAAAAAATTTATAACCTGCTTGTTAAAAAAATAGACTGTGCTGAGTAAAATTGTATAAAATAAAAATTCTCATTTCTGAACATTGTGCCCAATCCTGTTTACCAGAGGAAACCATTATTAATAGTTTGGTTGTGTTGGGCATTTTAAATACTATATCTTAGATATGGCGTAGGTAAAAGTTATGGAAAATATCTGGATAGTAAGGATTAGATTAACACTATCATTGGAGGTGCTACTTGAGTAAGGGCAAGACCATTCTTCATTGTGTGCAGTTGTCCTATAAATTGAAGAGTACTTAATTTTTTTTGTTGAACTATAGTTGATTTACTATATTGTATTAGTTTTAGACTCCTAATTTATCCCTTCTGTCCCGCCACTCTATTCCCCTTTAGTAACCATAAGTTTGTGAGTCTGTTTCCTTTTTGTAGATAGTTTCATCTGCATATTTTTTTAGATTCCACATATGAGTCATAACATATGATGTTTGTCTTTCTCTGATTTCATTTATTATGATAATCTCTAGGTCATCCATGTTGTTGGAAATAGCAATACTCAATTCTTTTTTATGACTGAATAGTATTCCCTTGTGTATATGTACCACATCTTTATCCATTCATTGGTTGATGGACATTTAGGTTGCTTCCATGTCTTAGCAATTGTGACTAGTGCTGCTATGAAATTTTTTCAAATTAGTGGTCTCATTTTCTTTGGATATTTACTCAGGAGTGCAATTGTAAGATCACATGGTAATTTAGTTTTTTGAGGAACCTCCATACTGTTGCTTATAGTGGCTGCACCAATTTACATTCCCATTAACAGTGTACAAGAACTCCCTTTTTTTACATCCTCTTCAACATTTATTTGTGATATTTTTGATAATAGCCATTCTGACAGCTATGGGGTGATGGTCATTGTAGTTTTCTTTTCCATTTTTCTGATGATTAGTGATGTTGAGCATTTCTTCATGTGCTGGTTGGCTATGCATATGTCTTTGGGGAAGTGTCTGGGTCTTCTGCACATTTTTTTGATTGGCAAAGATACTTAGCTGTTTAGCATCACTGGCTGTGCAGTATATTCCTGAGGTTGAGTGAGGTGGCACCAAAAAGGTCCCAGTCATTTTTCAAATGTTTCCAAGTGGTGAGCTACATCCCCTGCTTAAGAACCAGAGTCTGAGCAACATTTTTATAGTGTTTTTCATAGTTACTATTATAAATGTGTGAGAAACTTAATTTAAAAAAGAGTTCATGATCAGAAGAAATGTTAAATATTAGCATACTAGTAGCTCAGGAAAGTTTTGCAAATGAAAAGAATTTAACTCAGCATTTTTCAAATTTATTTTAGCGTGGCATGCTTTTCTTTATCCTGCAGACAGGGTTTCCTGTGATTCCAGTTAAGGAAATTTGGGGTTAGATGGCCAGAAAGTTGAAAAGAGACCAAGATGCTAGCAGTACATGAGAAGGCCTCTAGAGCGTCAGCTTTGCCAAAAGAAGCTGCTTCATGTAGCCTTGTTCCTCCTTGTCTTGGGTGGTCTCTTTCAATTTTGAGATGTGACATTTATTTCTTATCACCAAGATAATAGTCATTTCCTAACAAATGTATAGTCTCATAAAGGTCTGATATAACATGATTTGAGAGTTCTTTTATTTCAGAATGAGAATAGCTGTAGTATTTTCTAATTCTAAAAGTAACACATACTTTATTGTAAAAGTTTGTCATTTATTGATACATTTTTAGTGGCAGTATGGCATGTCATTGTATCTGTTTTATGGTTTACTTAGCCAGTCCATATTGGTGCATATTGTAAAATTATTTATACTCGTTCTGTAACAGTGTGATGAACATCTTAATACTTGTCTTATTTATTATTTTCTTGGATAAATTTTTCTTGGTTAGATGGTAAATTAGAATTAGACACAATCAAAGGAGTGGATTTATCGCTACAGAAATGTAATAATTTTATACACTACATCAAAATGATGTTATACATGTGTAAGATTTGGTTTGAAAGATTGAGATTTGGATCTCAAGATTGTGCTGTCTTGAAAATGAAATCTGTCCACTTTGACTATCCTTTTTCCTAACAAATCTACTTTCCATCAAACCACAGGCTCTTGGACTCTGTGCCTCCCACTGCAATCGGTCACTTCAAGCAGTCAGCCGAGAAGCTGATTGAGGAGAAGGGGGCTGTGGAAGCCCTGGCAGCAGCCCTGGCCCACATTTCCGGTGCCACGTCGGTAGACCAGCGCTCCTTGATCAACTCAGAAGCGGTAGGGATTCCTGTCAAATTTCTGACACTTTATAATTTGAATTATAAAGTGTCCCATTGAAACTTCCCAGTTGTTTTAACTTTTCATGAAGGTTGATACCTACTAACAAATCCATAGAGACAGAAAGTTACTGGTTGCAGCGTCTTACTGGAGGAGGGCAACGCAGTGATTGCTAAAGGCAGTGTGGGTTTTGGTGGGGTAAAGGGATACTGACATATTCTGGAATTTTAAATACTGGTAATGATTGTAGATCTTGTGAAAATACTAAAACCCCCTGAATTGTATGCTTTAAAAATGCCAGATTTTATGGTATGTGCATCGTACGTCAATTTTTCTTAATCCTAAAAAAAAAATCCAGTCATATAAACAATGTAAGCACATATGATTCCTTTAGCCAGCATACCTAGAAACTTAAAAAGGTAATGCTTTTCTTTTTTTTTTTAAAGTTGAAATTTTTGAGATAATTGTAGGTTCTAGTGAAATTGTAAGAGTTAATACAGAGAGATTCCTTGTACACTTTGCCAGTTTCCCGCAGTGGTAACATTTTACAAAAGTGTAGTATCATGATCTGGATACCAAAGCTAGCACAATGCACCAGTCTTACTCAGAGCTTCTCAGTTTTACTTGTACTAAAATGGCAGGGTGAGAGGGGTATGTTTTTAGAAAGAACTTTCTCATAAATATTTTAGAAACATGAGGACAAGTGTTTATATCACTTAAGTTTGTTTTTGAGACTTTAACTTAGTTTTCTTTCCATAGGGCTTTGTGACCATGATCTTGCGGTGCTCAATTGAAATGCCAAACATTAGTTATGCTTGGAAAGAACTTAAAGAGCAGCTGGGTGAGGATATTGATTCCAAAGTGAAGGGAATGGTCTTTCTCAAAGGAAAGCAGGTAAGGCTGAGGCCTCTGTTGTAACCTCACCTTGGTTCAGTAGCTTCATGCTGGCCGTGAAACACTGTGTGGTAGCTTTTCCCTATTCTACCGGATGCTGCATATTTTCATTCTGTAGTCAGTCTTCTCTGGGCAGTGTTTTCCATGACCCTCAGTTGCCACTTAGTCATTGACAACTGCCCCAAGTGTATCTAGCCTGAACTATCTGCATAAAGTGCCAGACTTGGAAGATCCATCTACTTCCCTGACATCCCCACCCAGATGGGGTTTATTAAGTAACTTAATGCAGAAATATTCAAAATTGAATTAAAAATTTAAAATCTTGCCTTTTGAACCTAGTGTTAATTCTTCTGACTCTGGCCGTCAGTTATGGCATAGACTCTTATAGCAATTCTCAAGTCTTTTGCTCTAATGACCTTTTTACATTCTTAATAAATTGTTAGGGACACCAAAATGCTTTTGTTTCTGTGGGTTATACCGACTGATATTTATGTATTAGAAATTAAGACTGAAATTCTAATAAAGCATAAGAATATGTTCTGTTAGTCGTCAGACAACGATATCAACTATAATGTAATGTCTTGAAAACCTTCTACCCTTAAGAGAGTGAAGAGGACAGAGAACATTGTAGGATTATAAAAATATATTTACTTGGTAGAATGCCTCAAAAATCTCAGGGTTCCAGTAGCACTTGGGCTATACTTGGAGAACTACTGACCTTGTAAACCAAATCAGGTTTATCTTCAACTCATTGCTTATCTGACCGTGTTGTTTACCTTCTTAAGCAACTGCACATTATCTGTGGGATAGAGTCCCAGCTTTCACATAGGGGTTCTTCATTAGCTGGCTCCTGTTCTCATTAGCAACTTCATTTCTATCTCCTCACCACTAGCACCCTCCAGTCCAACAATGCCAAGTACATCTTGCTTTCTTTCATCCTAGTGTATGCACAGTCCATTGTTTACATAGTATTTCTTATCTCCATGGTATCTTTTATGACTCGGCTTAGCCTTAAGTCTTTGTGAAGCTTCCCCAGGCCAGATTGCAGAGTTGGGGGCACCTCTGTGTGTATTTCAGCATCCTTAGGGTTTCTTCCTGTAAATTTTGCCTTGCTGTGCTTGCCTACTGATTGAGTCTCAGGAACACTATGGCCGACTCAGGGGCCAAAACTGTGTTCTAGATGTCTCTGTACTGCAGTGAGTGCCTGGTATTGAATGGTTAGTTAATATGTTAATGAAGATTCCCACAGATGGCAAAATGCAGCAGTACCTGATGTTATCTGTGGTTATAATTGGGTAAATTGTTGGTGAAATGGATGTTCCTCAAAATTTTGCAATTAAAGATAGCCAGGGGAGAGGAGTGTCTGTGTCACGAGGGGAATTTGATTATTTTGTGGACACTGAGAAACAGGAGGACTTTTTTCTTCTTTTTTTTTTTGACTGTGTCCAGTGGCTTATGGGATCTTAGTTCCTTGACCAGGGATTGAGGATTTCTTAATTGGAAATGATGGCACTGTTTGTTAACAAAGATACTGTCCTGTATAGTAGTTAATTTTTAAATACTTTTCATTGGAGCTTGAATTATAGAAACTAGAAAATGAACAATATAATTTATTTTTCTGCTTTTAGTTAGGTCATCCTGATTACAGGAAGGCAGTGTATTTTAATGGTTTTAAACCATAGATTTTATTTTAGAGCTATGCTTACCAAGTTTTTAAAACTGCTCTTACCCACTCTGGGACCTAAGACAAGTGAGTTAGCCTCATCAAACCTTTGTTTTCTCAGCTATAAAATGCAGCTGATTGCTCCATGAGGATTAGCACAGTGTAATAGCCAAGAATGATCTGTAGTCAATTCTAGGTAGTCTTGAGTCCTTTCATAAATACCCCTGGCTTTGCTTTTGTTCTTTGGGGATGTATTGTGTTAGACTTGGTCTAAAGTTTCTCTAAAATGGGTTTTTTTGATCTTTTTGTTTGTCTTTTACATAATTACCTAGTCTTTTGGAGTATTGATTAATGAGCATTTTATAATTCTTGTCAAAATCTGGATTAACTTGCATTTGTTTTGATTTCTAGGGTGTTTGCTTTGATATCCCTACTGCATCAGTAACAGAAGTACAGGTATTCTTTTCTCTTATATTTTGAAGTTAATGTGTATCTAAACTGTAAAATGTTTGTTACTTAAAGCACAGAATAATAGGGAAACAACAGCTCTAGTCTCTAAAAGACCATTAAGAAGTAAATTTTACTACTTTTTCTGCTATTCTTTTTATACTGGTATTTTTCTTTATTCAGCTTTCCTGTTTTCCTGTTTTTGTTTACAACATTGTGAACAATACCCAGGTTTTTTCTCCATGGATTTTACAGGGGGTTTATATAGACATTTTAAATTGCTATATCGTTATTCAGTACTGTCAGAAATATGTTTATACATGGTATAGTCATGTTTTACTACCTGACGCTGTGGCTACCCTGTAGTTACTAGATTGGATAAATGATGAGGGTACGCATAGTGATACTTTATTTTTGACCAGTGACCTTTTAAGCACTTAGGTTATCAATCTGGTTTTTCTTTAGAAAATGGGTAAAAATATTGTCTTTCTCATGCCTTTTAAAACCAAATTCAGTAGAAATCACAGCAGGTTAAAACAGTACCTTCTCTCAACAGGAAAAGTGGCATGATTCACGGCGCTGGCAGCTTTCTGTGGCCACGGAGCAACCAGAGCTGGAAGGTCCACGGGAAGGATATCGCAACTTCCGAGGACAGCGGGAAGGCAGTCGAGGCTTCAGGGGACAGCGCGAGGGCAACCGAGGTGTCAGGGGACAGCGGGAAAGAAGTCGAAACTTCAGAGGACAGCGATCAGGAGGTGGCAACAAAAGTAACAGATTCCAAAACAAAGGCCAGAAGCGGAGTTTTAATAAAGCATTTGGACAGTAACTTGAAGTAGAGGATTTATTTGGCAAAAACAGAACTATGTTCAGCAATGTGGAACTGAACATTATTTTTCATACAAAGTTAAAAGCACATTGTATTTCCTTCTTGACCACTTGCCCAGTCCCCATCTCTTCGAGAGAGAAAAGCTTCATTTAAATTATTTCATCTGATTGATGACTGTCATTTATAACTTTATTGCTACTTCCATCTTGGGTATTCCTTTGGAAAAGGTGTATGGATTCATTACATATTCTAATGTATTAATAGATTATAAGATAAAGTCAAGCATGTGTCTGCTGATACTTTTTAAGTTGACCTGTCTTTATACTTAGAAATGTCTCTTAACAGTAGGCTTCCCTGGTGGCTCAGATGGTAAAGACTCTCCTGCAATGCAGGATCCCTGTGTCAGGAAGATCCCCTGGAGAAGGAAATGGCAACCCACTCCAGTAATCTTGCCTGGAGAATTCCATGAACAGAGGAGCCTGGCAGGCTACAGTCCATGGGGTTACAAAGAGTCAGGCATGACTGAGCAACTGTCACTCACACTCATTCTTAATAGTGCCCTTCCTAAATACCATGGGGAATACAGTAGTTTCTAGAGAAGCACTTTGAGCACTCAAAGCTTTGTTTTCTAACTGTATTCCTCAGCCACTTGCCTTCCAGTTACTCCTGTGGTTCTAGTGTATGTCTTCTGAGAATTAATAGCAATGTTTCGAAGCAAGGTTTCACACTTAACCGTTAGTAGTACAGTTTATGCCTGCATATGCTCTAGATTTGGAGGATGGTGATAATTTGATAGGAGATAGTATTTAGATTAGCTATTGTTATATGCATTTTGATACATTTTTAGCTTCTCAATAAAAGGTGATTTAATGCTTCAGTGAATTCTTCACAGATTTTAAAAATAATGTATATGTGTAAATACAAGTATTTTACTAGAAAGTAAGTATCTTTAAGGAATTCCAGGTGTATACCATGGCCCCATAACTTTCTTCGTGCGTAAGGTTAGATAAATGGTGCTTGATGATAATGTACTCCACCTCCTATTGGAAAATTAACATTATTTACCAAGAAGGAACTAGGGGAATAGGGGGCAGAGATTTGCATTGCTGAAGAGTCAAAAAATCACTGAAAATATTTTCTACATGCAAGAAGGAAACATGTATATTGAGAGCAAAGAGAAGAATGAGTGAAGGTGCATGATAAAGCTTTTTTTTTTTTGATAAAGCCTTTTTTTAAATGGTGAAAACTTAATGGTTCATTACTGTTTCTAGAGTTTAACTTCTAATGGGCAAGCTGGGGATTTTAGGTACAACGATCCAGTTTAGTTTCTCAAAGCCTAGCTGCTATAGCCACAGTATAGAATCTCTTCCTATTAGACTGCTACTCCATTGAAAGGTTGCAGCTACCTAGAATTCTTTTAAGAACAAACCATGGTTATTTTTAAGTTGTTGCTTTGAGGGAACTGAAGAACCTAATGTAGCCCCTGGCCAGTATTGCTCCGAGGTCTCAAGTGTTATTTCTCTGGGAAACTTCGCACATGGTACAGGAGCTTAAAAGTAGCATTGTCCTCTTGCCTTAATTCCTAGAAATTATGTACTGGGAATTTCAGGAAATAAACTATGATTTGAGGAATTCAAACACGTGGCCTATCTTACTTTCACTTAATTATTTTGAACAACTGAAATCTTGCTAGACACTGGTTTCTCTGATTGGGTCTTTGTAGCCAACTGCTTCTTATTCAGTCAACTTTTCAGTAAGGGGCTCTCAGATAACCAACTCCTCGGTTCTTGAGACAGCATTCTTTTTCTATTAAGATTTCAGTTCTGTCTTTGGATCCTGACTGGATGTCTCTGTTCTTACATTCTCTTGGCTTTTCTTCTTTGATCCACTTGGCAGTTTTATCGCTTGACCTCCTCATGGTTTCCCTTTCAAACCAGAGGGAGTTAGGTAGTTGATGACCAACAACTCCTGCTTGTGGATCATGTTTTATTCAATTCTGCTTTTGCTGAGATACTGAGCATACTTAAAAAACAACCCAAACATTTAAGTTTGGATAGGAATGGGGTGGTTTATCAAGTAGGACAGTGTACCTGTCCTTTAGGAGGAAATACTCAAGAGAGTAAGGGAGAAGATGAATGGGAATTTAACTTTACACGGCTTAGGACAACATGACTGACTGAATAAATGAAGCTAAAGTTTCTCCTGGGTCCCAGAATTCAAACCATATTTATAAATGTATAATTCAACTACTGTACCGTTTAAATGGGCTTATTGGGCTAGCCTGGGAAATAATACCGTTTTTACCATTTTCTACAGAGAAAGTATTTTCCAATTTATGTATCAGACAACTCAATGAACTTGTAAAAAACAACCAGTTTTTATGTTGGAACTATCTGTGCAGCAGTTTCTTTACAGTTGTACATAAAGTGTTTTTACTGTAAAATTGAGTTAATGTATACAAATAGACCTTTATGCCATAATAAAGTTACTAGTACTTATTATATATGTTTTTGGTGACTTTTTTCCCTAAAATTGAAGCTTGGAATTTTTATTTTAAAAATAATAACTGATAGATATAAATATCCAAACAGAAAAGCAAGTAAGTCACCATATTTCCAACACATTTGTGAACATCTCTTCCAGGAATTCATTTACAAAACTGGAATCATTCCTTCAGTTTTTTGAATTGCTTTTCCCTCTAGGGCATGTGCATCTTTTTCTGTGTCTTCTTTTTTTTTTTTAGTTCTCTAACCAGGGATGGAACCCACACCCCCTGCAGTGGAACCACTGGACCACCAGGTAAGGCCCTGTGCCATTTTTGATAACTATGCCATCTTACAGTATAAATATGCCACTATAAGATGGTCATGTTGGTTATTCTGTAAACAGCCCTAAAATGAATGTTCTTGTTTAAATCTTTGTGTACTTAGCTGATTTCTCACCACTGTAGGATAAATCCTATAAAAGAATTGCAGGGTCAAAGTGAATGAATTTTGAATTTTGGTGCAAGTTGCTCTCCAAAGCAGTTCCAGTTTATGGTCCTACCCTCCACTCTAGGAGAGAAACCTGTTTCCCTGCAGCAGTAACACTAGGTGTTGGCTGCTTTTTGTCACTTTGCTAGGTGCATTACATGGATTTATTTACATCTTTTAATTGAGTGAGGATTAACATCTTAAGTTTATTGGTCACTTGCATTTCTTGAAAAGACTTTATTTTGAACTAATTTTGTACTTAAATAAATGTTGCAAAAATAGAACAAAGTTTGTGTATACTCTCCACTCAGTTTCCACCAGTGTTAATAAATGTTTTCCATTATCATAGCACAATGAACAAAACCAATCTATTAACAATCTATTAAGGGTACCATCCCATAGATGCTTCCTTGAATCTAGCTTTTTTTGTCTTATCAGTATACCCTGGAAATCACATCCGTTCACAGAAATCTTTTGTTTTTACAACTGCATCATACTCCATTGTGTGGGTACACTATAGTTTATTCAACCCTTTTCTTATTATGAATGGGCACATAGGTTGTTTCCAGTATTTTTCAATTACAGTGCTGCAGTGAGAAATCTTGTTATATGTGTATTTATGTACTTTCAGAGGGGTATCTTCAGAGTAGATGCCTAGCAGTGGGATAGCTGAGTCAGAAGGTAAGTGCATATGTAGTTTTTGTTCTTTATTATGTATTGGCAAGGGGAATTCTAGAAGGGCAGTTTTTTTCTTGGAATTTATTTTTTGAAGGAGCCAGGCCATTTGTTCTGTAGATTTTACCACATTCTGAATTCTACTGAGGCATCTCCCATCTGTCACTTAAGCTCCTTTTCCTCCTGTATCTAATACATTGATAATTAGATTGCAACGTGTACCCAATGTCCAGTTGTCCCTCTTTTGATGTTAAGAGCAAGAAGTGATTGTTGCTTAAATCTCAGGTCACTGTGTTCTGGTGATCTGTACTCTATGCCACTCACTGGACAACTTCCACAGGGACTGCTCCCCTGGCAGCCAGAACTCTCGCATATCAAGTTTCCTAGTCCCATGTCTTTGTGTTTCTCAGCTGTATCTATCTAAGGATTTATCAAAATCCTTTTGTTTTCATCTGTGCATGCATTTTGCAAGGTCTTTAGAGGTTTGCACCAGGTGTCATGGTGGTTTGTTGAGCTCCTAGTGCAAGATAGTATTGCATAATGATCAAAAGTATGGGCTCTTGAGCAAAACTGCCTTATTGTATGTGACCTTTGGTAAATTATTAATCTCTCTAGACTTCAATTTCTAATCTGCAGAATGGGAATAATAATATCTCACAGAGTTGTTCTGAGGATTAGGTGATTTTAATATATAGAATGTTAGCTGGCTCATAGTAATGAGATACCAAATTAACCATGTGCGAATCACTTTCCTAGTCACAGATGTATACTGAGTACCTACTATGGTGATTACAGTAGTTTCCTTATGAGTCTTCCCACTTTTTCCCTTCAGTTTGTTTTCTAAATAATCCTGTTAAATCATATCTTGTCACTCCTTCAAAACCATCCCATCTCACACAGACTATCCAAACTCGCTATAGTGGCCTTATAAATGCTGCATAATCAGGTCCACACTACTTCTCTGACTTCATCTTCTATGGCTCTCTACATTCTCTCTACTCCAGCCAAGAAGTTTCCTTTTCCTTGAACACATAAGACAGTCTCCTGTGTCAAAGCCTGTGTATTTGCTGTTCATCTCTCTGGGATATCCTTCCTCCAATGTCTTCATGGCTCAATCTCTCACCTTCAGATCTTTACTCAAAGGAGGACTTTTCAGGAAGGTCTTTCCTGACCACCATGTTTAAAAATAGCAACCTTGCCTCATTGGCTAACAGTCCATATCACCTTTGTTTCCATAACAACTTATATTACTGTGTGTACATGTGCTCAGTTGTGTCCAGCTCTTTGCAACCCCATGGACTGTAGCCCACCAGGCTACTCTGTTCATGGAATTTTCCATGCAGGAGTACTGGAGTGGGTTGCCATTTCCTACTCCAGGGGAATCTTCCCAACCCAGGGATTGAATTGCGTCTGTTGAGTCTGCTGCATTGTCAGGTGGATTCTTTACTGTTGGGCCACCTGGATAGTTTAATGTCTTCCCTGTACTAGGGCAGAAAGTTTTTTAATTGCTGAATTCCAAGATCCTAGAACAGTGCCTGGTAAATTAACAGACATTTAAAATATTTCTCGAGTGAACAAATTACTCATTTGAAGTGTTGTGGAAAATACACTGGTAGGAAGCTAAAGTGGCAGCAAGAGTACCTGTTAAAATAATTCAAAAGATGATGGTCTAAACTACTAGAGATGAAAAGTAGACCAATGTAAGAGCTTTATAGAAGGTGGACTGGAGGTGGCTAGTGTTTAGTTTTACATTTAAGGATGAGAGAAGAAAGTGAATGCAGAGAATGTGAATGAAGAAAAGTGAATGAAGAGAGTGAATGCAGGAAATCAGCTTTGTGTATAGTGGTGTCACTCACTGAGATGCAAAACAGGAGAACATTTTGGTGTGGGTGGGAAAGGAAATGTAAAGAGGAAACTTGGGTTCCAGTTTGAACATAATGATATACAGGAGTCAGTTGAACATCCAGGAGTGGTTTTTCCAGTTGGGAGATGAATATTACAGTCTGTATCTCCAGAGAGCCATCTGGCCTGGAGACCAAGTTTTGGAAGTGAGCAGCCCATGCAACGGAAATCTTGGAAGTTTGTAAGATCTCCCCAGGACAGAGTTTAGGAACGAATCCTGAGAAGCACCAGCATTTATAAAGGATAGAATCTGTAGAGATAAGATAATGTTATCACTTATGTTTTGCTTGAGAAAGGTGAAGTTTTAAAAATTTTAAGCTAATAAATTTGAAGCAGATCTGAGATTCAAACTTTGTGTCTGTGAGCTTCCAGAATCAGTGCTCCTTTGTGTATCTCAAAGCCCTGAATATACCCAGCTCTTATAAAACTTTCTCAGGAGGCAGGTCAGGTGGTCTGGTATTCCCATCTCTTGAAGAATTTTCCACAGTTTATTGTGATTCACACGGTCAAAGGCTTTGGCATAGTCAATAAAGCAGAAATAGATGTTTTTCTGGAACTCTCTTGCTTTTTTGATGATCCAGTGGATGTTGTCAATTTGATCTCTGCTTCCTCTGCCTTTTCTAAATCCAGCTTGAACATCTGGTAGTTCACAGTTAATGTATTGTTGAAGCCTGGCTGGGAGAATTTTGAGAATTACTTTACTAGATCCACTATGGGCTGGGTTATATACTAATGTCAAAACGTTTCTGCCTTTCAGCTTATAGCAATTAACGAGAGTAGTTACCTAGCTATGTTTGTAAACAACGTTTCCTGGTGATCTGTTAGTCAATCGATATCACCAGTTAAGCAAGAGACGGAATTCCCACCCCCACCACCCCCCCCCCCCGAGGGCGGGGCTGGGCTGGGCTGGAAGTGGTAATGCCTTCGGACAGCTTCCTTTCCATGACAACGGTTGCTGTGGTGACGACTACGCCTTCCCATTGGTCACTGCCAAGCATACTGCGGTTCCCCGGGAGTACGTCATTGGCTAGCGTTCCGCAATGCGCAGGCGCAGGGCTGTCGGGGCCGTAATTGAAGCGTCGCAAAACAGAAGGAAGGCGGGAGTCCCGATTGAAACCGAGGCTGACTAGGCCGCTATGGCGGATGCTCCGTGGGCCGAGATTCGTGAGAAATTCCAGACTGCGCTGGCCTTATCACGGGTGGAACTGCATAAAAACCCGGAGAAGGAACCGTACAAGTCTAAATACAGCGCCCGGGCGCTGCTGGAAGAGGTTAAGGCGCTACTGGGACCCGCTCCTGAGGAAGAGGATGAGCGACCGCAGGCCGATGATAGCTTGGGCGCGGGGGAACACGCCTTGGGGCTGCCGGCTGAATTGGTGGATGCCGAGGGGCCCGTCGCCCAGGGGGCAGTGAGGCGAGCGGTTATTGAGTTCCATCTCGGGGTGAACCACATTGACACCGAGGAGTTGTCGGCTGGAGAGGAGCATCTGGTGAAATGCCTGCGACTACTGCGCAAGTACAGACTGTCGCACGACTGCGTCTCCCTCTACATCCAGGCGCAGGTGAGAAAGATCCGGGCCCGCTGCTGTTGGCCGCAGGCCAATGGGCGGAGAGGGGCCTCAACTCTTGTCGAGACCAAAGGCAAACGTAGTAAGGCACAATTTTTCCCCACGTTTTCAAACCTCTGTGGTAAGCGGCTTCCAAATCCCCTCTCCTTCCTCTTCGCTTACTCCTCCTCCATCGCTTTGCTTCACTTGGTTGTAGTCAACGCATCGGTTACCCAAGACCCTCCTACATTGTAAATGCTCTTTCCAGCTCTCCACCTTTCCAAATCCAGTTCATTCTATTAAGAAAAACCCAAAGTAATTTGTTTCTTAATTTCAGGTCTCAGGGAAATTGTAAAGAATAATCAGAGTGCATTCTTAATTTGAAATAAGATGTCTATCTTGCCATAGTCATTCGTTTGCTTCCCAGGGAATTCCTGCCCATTCTTCAAAACCGATTTCAAGATTCGCTTCATAGTTTTAGTAACTTTCTTTGGATCATTGTATTCTGAACTCACTTCCTCCTAGTACGTTTGATTTCTTGTAATACTTATTGTTTCGTATTTCTATGGTGCTTGGTTTATTAAGAAATCAATCTGACATTCTCGTTGGGAACGTAACAGTTCAGAATACAAATATGTATGAACTTTTGTGTCATGTACTTTGCTTAGGTTAGTTCACAAACCCTTACATTCAGTAGTTCCAGTTCCTAGTATATGTGATCCAGGGAACATTTACCTCAGTTGATCTTAGGGTAAGTAGGTCTCAAAGTTAAAAAGGACATTGTATAGGACATATTCTGTTATCATGGCCTTATTAAATTAAAAGCTACATAATAACAGGAACTATATCTCTTTTTTTGCTCATTATTTATAATTTCAGTCCCTGGCACACAAAAGACCATTCTAAATCATTTGTTTGTTGAGTGGATGAATGATCTAATGAAATCCATAAGATGTTGAATTCAAACAAAATCTCAATTATTTGAAATTTTCTTCAACCATTTGGCTTCCTAAGATCTTAATGAACATTTAAAAAATTCCTTTGATATCTCAAAAATAAAAACCTTCCTTAATGTAATATAGATCTCCAGAATTTACTGTACTTTTGTGACTTTTAATGTGCATGTTCTTAAATATATTAATATCTGAAATCAGGATCCATCTTACAGCTGACTGATTTTATGTCAGAATTTACTTGGCAGTGTTTTCTTGTTGATACATAAAATAATTGTGTCTTAAAATTTTTAACATCTTACATTCAGTGACTTACAGTATTTTGAATAGCCAGCTTTTTCTGAAGGGTGAATTATTAGAGATATTTTTACTAAAACCAGGAACAAAATCTTGATTAGACGTTCTGGCCATTGCAATAATATAGAAAGCAAAAAACAGTATCAGTCTTTTAAAATAAAAATAATTTTTTTTAATGTGATATATGTATACCTAAAAAACCTAAAGTCATCAACTATAAAAGTCTTAGAACTGTTTGATAAAACAGAAGGTTAACAAAACAAAACCAGGAGGTTATATGGTAAATATATAATATCAATAGTATTCTGTATATAAGCAATAATTTGTTAAAAGTGTTATTTTTAGAAATTGCATTTACAAAGGGCAGGATAATAGAACTGATGATGTTAAAAGGAATGATGTACCATGTTCCTCCATGGCAAGAGTGTTCAGGTTTGGCTTATGCTAGTCTGTTTCTGAAGTCTACTGCTCAGCTGATCTATTTATTACATGGGCCTTTTATTACATTTAATATTTGCTTTGATGAGAGATGACCTTACTAATAATAAAGCAAACTGAAAGGATGGAATAGGATAATTGTATCACATTGGCAGAGATTATTAAAGATATTGATTGCATTCATTGTTGGAGAAACTATGAGGAGATGGATACTGTCCATTAGCATAATTGTTGGTGGAAATATAAATCTGTAGAACTTTCTGGAGATCAGTAGGTATCTGAGTCAAGACTTTGACTTAAAAATTTCCTGTGAGTATTCTAAAAGAATATTGAGACAGGTATGCATAGGTCTGTTAACATGGATGTTTGTCATATCATTGTTAATTTTAAAAAGAAAAGAAAATAAACATTAGTGAGTAGCTTTATAATTAAATAAGTACTGGTACATCCATATAGAAGAGCAGTATGCAGCCTTTAGAAATGATTTATGTTTGTTCACCAAAATATCAATACTAAGAGGAGAGAGAAGACTCTGAGGCATGCTTGGAATTATGTAGAGTGATTCCATTTTGGTAGACGACTACCTGTGTGTTTGTGTTTGTATAAGAAAAAGTTTGAAAGTATCAGTTCATGGGAATTTATGAGTTTCTGACTGCTTTGTTCCAATCTGGTGTCTGCTTCCTGGGAAATTATTGATACACAGGACCTGGACCCACATTATATTATCAAGAGAGGCTATCCCCCTTCTACCTTCTCCAGAGGAATGTGTTTTTCTCCAGTTAGCTGTCAGAAATACACACTTGCATTATCATGCTGAGCAAAATTTAACTTGACAAATTAGTAGGTTGTTCTCCCCACTACCAGGACATATATAAGGAGGACCTCAGCTTTACTGAGGTACAGCTGACATATAATATAGTAAACAGCACATATCTAAGTATATAATTTGCTGAATTTCGACATCTCTATGTTCCCATGAAACAGTCACGGCAGTCACAGTAATGATCATATCCGTCACCACTAGAAGTTTCTTTGTGCACGTGCATTTGTAATCCCTCGCCCACTCCTGTATTCTCTTCTCTTCTTGCCCTCCTCCCCCACATTTTCTGGAATTTCATAATGGACTTGTATGGTGTATACCCTTCTTTTGTCTGACTTCTTTAACTCATCATCTCATTTCATTGCTGCAACAGAGATAATCTTTTTTTTTTTTTCTTTTGCCTGTTAATACGGTGAATTACATTGATTGATTTTTCTAATGTTAGGCCATCCTTTCTTTCCTGTGGTAAACTCCACTTGGAGTTTTTGCCAAGCCAAACTTGGGTCACATATTACTCTTTTTATGTATTGTTGGACAGAATTTGCTAAAATTTTGTTAGTATTTTTTGTATCTTTGTTCATGAAGGATATCAGTCTGTAGTTTCTTGTTATGTCTTTGGTATAGAGGAACTGTTCTTTCCTCTTTGTTTTTCTGTATGAATCTGTGTAGACTTGGTATTATTTTTTACCTTACATGTTTGGTAGAATTCACTAGTAGTACTTTTTAAGCTGTTTTTGATTCAGTTTTTTCCCTTACCTATTCTGTTACCCCAAGGGCAAGAACATGGTGATGCTCTGTAAATGATACAGTACTTTCTGATGTATTATGGGATTTATATTGTAAAAATAATTAGCATATCAAAAAAAGTTACCTCTGTGGAGGAAACACTGAAATAAAACATTAAACTATTTTGAAAAGTCAGGTCAGTTTTAGATCCCTTGCATGGTCCTTGACTTCAGAACCTCAATAAGTTATGGTTCAGAAGAAAAACCTGTGTCATTTCTAGACACACTCTAGGTCTCTACTTGGTTTCAGATTTATCACACATCAGAGTTGGTGCTTTCTGTGGTAGAGCCTACCCTGGATCTAGCAGCCTAAATGCATCACCATCCCATCTAAATAGAGTAAATGTGGCTAACCAGTTCCTGGTAATAGGTGCTTCTCTAGTTAGGTACAATCTGCTGGGTTTGGGCTGGTTGGAATCATGGCCAAATGGAGTGTCTCAGACGAAAAATGAATTGACTTAGGGAGTGAGAAAAGGTGACTTGTGGATTCATTTCTAAATTGAAGAAATGAGTTTTAAGGCAAATTATATTCTCTTGAGGCCGGATGGACAGAATAATCATTAAATTAGTACTGAGTCTTTAAGCTTCCCCAGGGTACTGCAAAGAAATACAGAGGAGAGAATTGCCCAATCTCAATAATTTATCACTATAAGCTACCTGCAGCTCTAGACACTGAGAACTGATCAAGTCACTTAAACGCCCCCCCCCCCCAAAAGAAACTATAGAATAGGTATACTATGTAAAGCCATATAGGACCAGAGGTCTGTGTTCCAGGGCAGCAATCATATTACCTCTAAACTGTAGGATTTTGAAACATTTTTTTTGTGTCTGTCACATGCCCCTTTTGCAGTCTGATGAAGTCAGTATTTCATGAAACAGAATAATGATTTTAAATGTATAAAATAAAATGTAGAGGGTTGCAAAAGAAACCAGTAATATTGAAGTTATCAAAATATTTTTTTAAATAAATGTATGATATAGTGATATATAAGGTTCCTTATGAGTCCATTAAATAACATCTATTTTTAAATATAATTTTAAAATATTATTGAATATTAATGATGGTTTAAGATATCTATGAGCTATAATACAAAGATTTTTTTTCACTTCTATAGACCACAAAATCCCAGGTAGTGTAACTGTTACATTTTGTTTACTGCCTTCATAACTGGAAAAAAAAATGCTAAATTTTAAGAGGATATAGTGAAAATGACTTTGTAATGTTTCACCATCCATATTCATAGACTGAATTCTCTTCCTGGGTAACTTTTGGGTTCTTGGGCCAAGATTAAGAATTTGCTTTAAAAACATTGTTTCCTTATCTTGTTCCCTTCCCTGGGGAAGTAAGCAAAAGATGGTAGAAGCCCAGCCTCAGATGAATCCCTGTTCTGGAAAGACTGTCCTGAGGGTTGGGAGGCTGACTAATCCCATTGTCTAAGCAGGAGCTAGTCTTCAGGACAGGCCTGATTTGTGCTATGATCAAAGAGTTGTGTAGCAGGTGGAGAACTGACTTAGTTTTTAAAATGTAACATTGTACCCCCAAATTTAGCAGCTTGAAACTTAATTACTGAAATAACAGGAATCAGGCTGGCTTGCCCTAGCTCAAGGTCTGTCATCGGATGATTGGCCTGCTGGGGCTGCTCTGGAAGGCGCGGCTAGAGAATCCAAGCTCGCTGTGTGGCTGTGGGCGGGATTCGTACAGGCTGTTGGTTTGAGGCCCTGACTGTTGACTTCCCTTAGTTCCTTGACACCATAATGTGGCGCAAAATATGGCATTTGGCTTCCCTCAAAGGGAACAGCAAGAGGGAGCACCCAAAATGGAACCACAGTGTTTTGTAACTTGGTGTTGGAGGGGACCATCCATCACTGTTGCCATGTTCTGTTTGTTAGAAGCAAGTCACTAAATCTAGCCCAGACTTAAAGGGAAGAGATTGTACAAGGGCATGAACACCAGAAGGCAGGAATCATTGGGAAACCCAGTTTAGTGACTGCCTCCTGTGACATAAGGACAATAGTATTATGAATAATCAATTCACTGTTAATCAGACACTAGTACTATTTAGGTAGGCATTGACTTTGAAACTATGAAAACTACTTTATTGGAAAATTTATACTGTCATTTTTTTCTCTTTATTTTCCAGAATAACCTGGGTATCTTGTGGTCTGAAAGAGAAGAAATTGAAACTGCACAAGCTTATCTAGAATCATCAGAAGCTCTATATAATCAGTATATGAAAGAGGTATGTTGCATATCAGATAAATTTTAATCTTTGATTGAAACTAGTCAAGAATTGATGTTAAGAATTCCTCATTCATAATATTACAGTATGACTTTTCAGTGTGCTTTGAGATGTCTTTATACAACTGTCCATGTGGTCACCTAATAGTTAAAATTATTTAATATTTTTTATTAAAGACTTTAGCATTCTTAAAAATTATCCTTGGATAAAGTCTAATGGATGCCTTAATCCAAGTATAACTGTATAAGAAATATTCTAATATCCTGAAATACTGATATTTGCAAAATTTCTATTTTGATTTCTACTGAGGATAGCAGTGCTTAAAGGAAAGCAAACAGCTATCAGTACTTAAGCAAAATATCTGAAATTTTGGCGGCACTGGTTCTCAAGTTTCAGCATGTATCAGAATCACCTGGAGAACTTGTTAAAATACAGTGCTCCCCCCGAGACTCTGAGTGAGTAGGTCTGGGTTGGGACCTTTTTAACCAGGTGCCGGTGCTCCCGCTGCTGCTGGTTTGGGCCCTGCACTTGGAGAAGCGCTGCTTCGGGGTGGTGATTTTCAGCAACTTTCTTTTCTTGAATTGTAAAACGCTTCTGAAATACAATATGTCAAAATTGATAAATCCACTCTGCTTAAACAGGTCAGAAGAACGCTGAGCCCAGTGCACTACAGGTACCTTCTTCCCTCCCTGCTGTGGTAGCATAAGAGGCACTGTGGAACTAGTTCTAGGGTTCTAGGGAGCGACGGTTGAAAACTTTTGCTTTAGAGGCTCACCGTCCTACAGAAGTGACCTTTGTAACACCTGTGTTGCCGATCATTTCCTTAATAAATTTTACATGCCCTTTGGCATTCTGGAGGAGGCCGTACATGTTTTGTAGGGCAGGGAGGTCAATGGGAAATCTGTACGTTCTACTCAGCTTACTGTGAACCTAACACTGCTCTAAAAAGTGAAGTCTACTACAAAAAAATATTGGCAGTCTTTTGAAATTAAAATGGATTTAGTTAATTTTGTCCTGAGGCTATGTGTAGCAGTTTTGGAAATAACCAGGTATTTTGAGGTTTTTCAAACTCAAGGTTAAGAATCAATGTTTTACCAGTTTCACTAATGATTCATATATTGCTAAATTCAGTAGTAAATTCTTAGTCTTCATCTTATTTGAGCATTTGGCATAGTTATTCAGTTTGGCCTCTGGCTCAGTTGAGTAGTCTCTCTTCTTTGACATACTTCTTTTATACCAAGTTGTATTTTTATTTATTTTTGGCTGCGCTGGGGCTGGGTCTTCGTTGCTGCCTGAGGGCTTTCTCTGGTTGCCGTGCATAAGCTTCTCACTGCGGTGGCCTCTCGCTGCAGAGCGTGGGCTCCAGGGTGGGCTCCGTAGTTGTGGCCCACAGGCTCAGTTGCTGGGCAGCATCTTCCCAGACCAGGGATTGAACCCATGTCTTCTGCACTGACAGGTAGACTCTTAACCACTGGACCACCAGGGAAGTCTGACTACTCCTTTTATTTATCTTCCAAATGTTTGTTGTTCCTTCTTCTCAGTTCTTGTTGCTTCATCTTTATATCCCCAACCTCTAAACAGTGGGGTACCCAGAGTTCAGTGTGTTTGGGTGTCTCTTTCCGTCTACATTCACTTCTTTGTTCTAACTACCATCTCTATACTGATGACTCCCAAATTATCTCCCCAGTCTGTTCCTCTCTAATTCCAAACTTGTCTGTCCATCTGCTGATTTGACACTTGCACTTTTTATGAGGTAGGTAGGTATCTCTAAAACTACTGTCTAACATTGAGCTTCTGATACCTTCCCCTTCCTACCTTGCTTGCTATGAACACCAGTTTCTTTCATGAATTGTTGAGGCCTGAAACCTTGGAGACTTCTCTCCTACTCACAGTCTCAGCAGATTCTCTTGGCTTTACTTTTATTTTTTAATATTTATTTATTTATTTGGCTGTGCTGGGTCTTAGTTGCGGGACTTGGGATCTTAGATCTTTGTTGTGGCATGCGAATCTAGTTCTCCAACCAGGGGCCTAATCCAAGCTTCCTGCGTTGGGAGCGTGGAGTCTTAGCCACTGGATCACTGAGGAAGTCCCTTTGGCTTTACTTTTAAATTAGGTCTAGAATCAGTCAATTGAGTCGCTCAGTCGTGTCTGACTCTTTGTGACCGCATGGACTGCAGCATGCCTGGCTTCTCTGTCCATCACCAACTCCTGGAGCTTGCTCAGACTCAGGTCCATCCAGTCAGTAATGCCATCAAACCATCTCATCCTCTGTCATTTCCTTCTCCTGTCTTCAATTGTTCCCAGCATCAGGGTCTTTTCCAGTGAGTCAGTTCTTCGCATCAGGTGGCCATCAAAGTATTGGAGCTTCAGCTTCAGCATCAGTCCTTCCAATGAATATTCAGGAGTGATTTCCTTTAGGATGGACTGGTTGGATCTTCTTGCAGTCCACGGGACTCTCAAGAGTCTTCTCTAACACCGCAGTTCAAAAGCCTCAATTCTTCGGCGCTCAACTTTCTTTACGGCCCAACTCTCACATCCACAAATGACCACTGGAAAAACCATAGCTTTGACTAGACGGACCTTTGTTGGCAAAGTAATGTCTAGAATCAGACCACTGCTATCACCATCCTCTCTTGCTGTAACCTTCTTGTTGGTCTTCCTGCTCTCATGCCCCCTTCAGTCTCTTCTCAGCCCTGTTCAAAGGTAAATCAGATCACATCACTCCTTTCCTCAGATTTTCAGTGGTTTTCCCATCCTACTCAGTAGACTCTGAAGACCCGTGAAAACCTCCAAGTTCTTTATCTGATCTGGCTACATTACTTCTCTAATTTCATACACTCTTCTCCCCTGTCTCATTCTGTTCTAGCCACACTGGCCTTGCTGTTCCTAAAACACACCAGATAAGCTCCCGACTCAGGACCCCTGCACTTGTTTTTCCTCTGCTAATACTGCTCTTCCCCTAGATACCTGTCTGGGTCGCTCCCTCAGTTTCTTCGGGTCTTGACTCTCATGTCTCCCATCCAGTGAGGACTCACTGGCTACTCACCTCACACTGCAAACCAACCCTCCCTAACACTTCCTACCCTGCCCCCGCTTTCCTGCTTTTTTTGCTTTGCACTTGTCACTAACATATTCATTTTAATATGTTATTTATCACCCATCTTCAGTACTAGAAGGATAGTGCTCCAGGATGACAAGGATATTTTTGCTATTGTATTCACTGCAGCATCTAGAACAATATCTATTTCTTGATAACCAGTGAGTGATATTTTACCTTGTTCATCCAGATCAACCAAAAAAGAAATGGTGTTACTACTGTGTGAATGCTTGAATGAATTTAATAGAGAATTTCAGTTTAAAAATGTATAAGCTAGTGTTTAGTTGGAGAAGTTTGATTGCTTATATGGTTTTCTACTTGTTTGGTATCAATCAGTAATTAATAATATTAAATAAAATATTTCATAAATTATTGACCTAATTAATAGTGGCAGGTTAGAATGCCATTTTTTTAAATCTATGCATTCAAAATATAGTTCTAGATAATGGAGAGATCTAAACAAAGTGAGGAATCATTGAATTTGAAGATAGGAAAGCAGATTATAAAGTAGTTAATGCAGAGTCACTGAAAATATGCTGTGTACACCCAGTGATTGCAGAATGGTTAAATAAATCATGATACTGTCTTAGCAAGGCAATATAATGTAGCCATTAAAATGATAGAAGTATTTGGATCATCAGTATATGGAAAATGTGTTTAACGTGTACACTGTGATTACAACTATATTAACATTTTTTCTTGTAAGGCCCTGTAAAGATGAACTAGATGATATAACTAATAAAACTAATGTTTTAGTTTTAGAAGATGCAACTAATAAAGACTAATATTTATTGAGTGCTTAAGCAGACTATCTTTTATTCTCATAACAACACTATGAAAGAAATACTGTTATTCCCATTTATAAGTAAGGAATTTGTGATTCAGTGAGATTAGCATATACTGTGTGACACAATCAGAATTTAAGTGTGGTTTGTCTGATCCCAAACTCTTGTTCTTTGTCATGCTGCTTTCCAAGGTGATACATTAGTTACTGTATTAAAATAAAAGGATTCTTTTTCTCCATAAAATTGCTCTAATATAGAATAATAAAAAAGAAAATGCGTTCTGTAGTTCTGAAGAGTTATTTATTAGCAGGTTTTGGGTGTTGGTGGTTGAAGAGACACAGTCTTATAAGCCAGAAGGATTTTATTTTATTATTACTGATTTTGGACATTACCATACATATCAGTTTTTTTTCTTTTGGCTGCACTGGATCTTTGCTGCAGTGTGTGGGCTCTTTGTTGCAGTGTATGGGGTCTTCTCTAGTTGTGGCTAATATGGGCTCAGTGGTCCCACGTTAAGTGGGATCTTAGTTCCCCAACCAGGGATTGAACCTGCATCCTCTGCATTGAAAGGCAGATTCTTAACCACTGGACCACCAGGGAAGGTCCTGCAGAGGAATTTATTTTTTTTTTTCTTCTGCAGAGGAATTTTAAACATTCATTCATTGATTTATTTCCAGATTTGAGATACAATTGACATATAATTTGTGTAAGTTTAAGACACACAGGGTGATGATTTGATTCACAGATATATTGAAAATGATTACCATAACAGGATTGATTGACATCTCCATCACCTCATAAAGTTACCTTTTTTATTTGTTTTTGTGGTGAGAATATTTAAGGTTTACCATCTTAGCAGCTTTCGAGTATACAGTACAGTATTATTAACTATAGTCAACATGCTGTACATTAGATCCCCAGAACTTTCTTATAACTTGAAGTTTGTACCCTTTGCCAAACATTTCCCCATTTCTCCCATCACCTCAGCCCCTGGCAACCACCATTCTATTCTGTTTCTAGGAGTTCACTCTTTTTTTTCTTTTTTTTTAAGATTCCACATATCAATGATGCTATACAGTATTTGGAAGATGACCATTTTATAAGCATGTCAGTCATTA